GATCACCTGGGAAACAACAAGAATGAACCCCCATTATTTTATTAGAATCAACATATCCTTTGCTGCTTGCAGATTATCCCAAGTTTAAATGTTATCAGAGTAGATCTCCGGAGGCATTTGGAAACAGGTCCGCTGCACTCCATGACCTCAAGGAAGGAATGATCTTTCTTTTTCTTAATTTAAATTATTAATTTTTTTATTATAATGTTTTAAGTTTTTGTTTTCATTCCGGTGTAGTTAACATGCAGTGTCCTATTAGTATCAGATATACCGTATAGTGACTGAACAATTCTTTTTTTTTTTTTGAAGTTTTTATTTTAATTCAGGAAGGAATGATCTTAATGGCCCCGCTTCCCTGCAGGATATTTTAGTCCGAAGCAGCGGATATGTAAACTCAAGACCGGTTTAGCGGCCTGTTGTGTCTGTGTCTCGTCTCAAGAACTCTGATCACGCAGGTCCCACTCAGCTGCTCCTAATTTTTTCAAGGTCTGTTTATTTCATTTTTGGTTTCCATAACCAACCTCTCCGTTCCCTGCGGGCCAAGGTCTAAATTTTTACAAATGACAAGGAGGTGACTTTCCAAATATTACGATTCTGACCTGGTAGCAGGATTACATTTTCCCATGGTAGTAATGAGGAGAGTTGTTTGAATTCCCAGATCTGGCCATACCAACACAAGAGCAAAAGCATGAGGAACGAAGCCCATCGTACAAACTGTGTGTGACAGAGGCCATGGGGGGACACGGGGGTGTTCTCTGCTGTGCTTGGATTTTGTCCTCCAGGGGCCCCTCCTTGGAAGGTGTCCACCCATAGGGCCCAGCCCTACACTCCACTGGCAGGGAGCCCTGGCAGACCCAGCAGGCCCCGCCCCAGACAGTGAAACCCAGAACTGGGGACTGGCAGCCCTTTTTAATTCCTCAGGGTTCCCTTAGGAGATTCTAATGCACAGCCATTGTACCAGAGGGAATTCTCTCGTCTTCTAAGTTAAAATATGACGGAGACTAAGGTTTACACTCCAGGTGTGCCCTTTATCAATTCTGTTCCCTTGGCTTTCCGTTTGTCTGCTCAGAGCCTGACTTCCTCATCCCCCCGGGGGACTCCGGACCCCACAGACTTGCTGTGAGCATCCATCCGCCCTGAGCTGGAGCCACAGCCCCACCCCACGCTCCATGCCCCACACCCGTCCGGGGCTGGCCCCAGCTGTGGGAAGAGGCCAGCAGGTTTAACTCAACTGCACTCACTCTCAGTAAAAGCCCAGGGAGGCTGGGAGGTGGTTCTTAGGATGCACTGGCTACAGCTCGCCCTCCCGGGTAACTTGTGGAAGATGCCGAATCCAGCTGCTCCATCCCTGCCTTCCAGAAGGTCCTCTCCTCCCCAGGGGGTTCTGGCAGTGCCAAGGGGACACCCAGTGCTGCAGGTGACCGGCTCCTTCTCAGGTGAGCACAGGTTCACCCCAAGAGGCCGCGGTGCGAGTCAGGCGCTGAGGCTGGTGCGAAGGTGTGCGGGCCACCCATGACGGGTCTCCTGGGCGTCCCCTCCGGATCACGTGTACTTGTCAACAGTTTCCTCCTGCCATTGCTTACATTGGCTAGAACCCCCCCCCATTTATCGTGCGTTTAGGAGCGACCCCCTGGAGCTGTGTGTCCTCATAAAGAAGGGGTGCTCAGGAGGGCGAAGGCCTGACGTCGGGTATTAATCATGCCGGTCACCCGGTGATCTTGCTGGTGTGGTTGAAGCGTTTGGGGTTAATTTCCCCGGGACAGTGGCCGCCGAACGAGTCCTAGAATCCTGGGGTCTGTCCGAAGGGCCCGCTAGCAGCTGGGCCTCTCCCTCCCGCTACGTGCGCCGTGGACCCTACGTGCGCCGTGGACCGGCCGCGGAGACGCGCGCACCTCTGCGCGCACAGGCGCTAACGCCCCACACGTGTGCCCTTGTCCCATAGCGCGCGCGGGCGTGGGGCGCTCTCCCAGCGAGAAGGGGAGTGGGTGGGCTTTCTGGAGGTTAGGAGCCCCGTCTCGAGGTCGCATCCAGCAGTCCTGGGGGAGCTGTGGGTTGTGCTGTGTAGCGGGCCCTGAGGTTCAAGGATGAGCATCCGGGGGGCGGGGCCAAGCAGGTAGGAGTCCCCAGGTGGAAAATCTCTCCCTGCAGATTGGCCTGCAGGTCCCGTAGGACCCAGAGCAGGAACGTGGGCGAATTCGCGCTTTCGGAGGCTGATACGGCAGACCTCCGGCTAGTGCCCGGACAGGGCAGCCGCGTGGGACCACGTTTCTAGGGGGGTCCCGTGGCTGGCTCCAGCGGGCAGGCAAGGGGAAAGGACGCAGGGCAGCTTTTACTTTTTAAGATGTTATTTCTGGGGCACCAGGGTGGCTCAGTCAGTTAAGGGTCCGACTCTTGGTTTTGGAGCAGGTCAGGATTTCAGCCCTGGGTAGGGCTCTATGCACAGCACGGAGTCGGCTTCAGATTTTCTCTGTCCCTCTGCCCCTCCTCTGGATCACTCTCTTTGTCTAAAATAAATAAAATCTTAAAAAAAAAAAAAAGATTTTATTTCTAAGTAATCTCTGCACCCAAGGTGAGGCTTGAACTCACAACCCGGAGACCTAGAATCACATGCTGCTTGGGGTGAGCCAGCCAGGACCCCCTGATTTTTTTTTTTAAGGACTTCATTTTTTGGAGCAGTTCTGTTTCATAGCAAAATTGAGTGGAAGGTGCAAAGAGTGCCCGTATCTCCCTGCCACACAGGTGCACAGCTCTCCCCACGTCCCCGCCTTGTGGCACGTGGGTTACAGACAATGAACCTGCACCGACTCCCCATCCTCCCCCAAAGCCCGTGGTTTCCACCAGAGTCCCTGCTGGTGGTGTGTGTCCTGTGGGTTTGGACAGATGTGGAATGACCGCATCCACCCATGGAGCATCAGAGAGAATAGCATCACTACCTTTCCTGTCGCCCCAAGCCCCTGGTAACCCTGATCTTTTTACTGTCTCCATAGTTGTGCCTTTTCCAAAATCTTTTTTTTTTTAACAAGAAGAATGTAATTATAAATTACTTGTGTAATTGCTAACCAAGGAGAAAAAGCCGCTTCAAGTTCTTCTGGCCACGGTGTGGATAACATTAGAGGGACATGGCAGGATTCGGGGCAAAGGTCAGGAGAAACATCAGTTTTACAGGCAGGGACTGGGGAGGGCGTGTGTACTGGGCGTGAGTCACAGCGAGCCATACCTGCAGCAAGGTATGCCCGAACATGGGCAGAAGGTGGGGGCGTGAGGGGGGAACAGGAATCCATCTCGTCTTTTTTTTTTTTTTTGTAAGATTTTATTTATTTATTTGACAGAGGGAGACACAGCGAGAGAGGGAACACAAGCAGGGGAAGGGGCAGAGGGAGAAGCAGGCTTCCCACTGAGCAAAGAGCTTGACATGGAGTTCGATCCCAGGACCCTGGGATCATGACCTGAGCCGAAGGCAGACGCTTAACGACTGAGCCACCCAGGCACCCCCATCGCGTCTTGATATATGGAGTTTGTGGGGTCTGGAGGGACAAACACCTGTTAATCAGTAGGTCGTTTAAATTCTTCATGTCATAAGCGAGGTTTGAACATGAAGTAGTGAGACTCCGGATACACACATGTCCACGTCCATGTAGATTTTATCCATGTGTGAGCCGTGGACTGACTTCTAAGGTTCACAGCTTGTCCAGCTATGGGCCTATGGCAGCCTTTCAGACTCGGCACCTTCGAGAGCCAACGGCCTTATTCTCGCATCTCAGAGGAGGGTCAGTGTGACATGAACGTTTCTACCCATCTTCTGAGCAGGTTTACCATTCCTGTACACACGAATTGAGTCTCTGTGTCTGTTAACGCCCCTGGGAGCCACGGCGCCTTCCATGTGCCGTTACCAGGAGTGGCCTTTACTTCATGGCCGGTGTTCTCAGCATCTTCAATCCCGACATTGGTTTCTGAAATGTAAACTCGTGGAGAAGGCCGACTGGAGCTGTCGGTTGGGTGTGCTCGGGGAGTTTGGCTGGGAGTCCCGGGGGCTGTGCACTGGAGGCTGGGGACTGTGTCCTTCCCTAGTCCCTGGCCCGGCCCCTGTCCTCATGGGCCTAACTCTTAGCCACGGTGACGACACAGGATTCTGCAGGGGTGAAATCCAGACCTATTCACTTAGGTCTCCACAGTGGTTACATGGCCCAGATGGGCTGCTCAGAAGTGCAGCTCCTGGGGAGAGCAAATGGGAGTGTGGCAGACACACAAGACCATGTTGCACGAAGCTGCTTTAAGGGGCACCTGGGTGGCTCAGTTGGTTAAGCGTCTGCCTTGGGCTCAGGTCAGGATCTCAGGGTCCTGGGATCAAGCCCCGCATTGGGCTCCCTGCTCAGTGGGGAGCCTGCTTCTCCCTCTGCCCTTCCCCCCCGCTCATGCTCTCTCTTGCTCACTCTCTCTCAAATAAATAAATCTTTAAAAAAAAAAATGCCACTTTTAATCCCCTTTAAGTAACAGCCCCTGGGAAAGTGTGGAAAATGTCCTAGATTTATCTTGAGTAGGTATTATTTATAGTATATTGGTTTAATTTTTCTTTTACTAAAACAGCATGACTGATTTTGAATGTAAGGCCATTGACTAAAAAATTGTTTTCCCCAGTAGCTGCTAATGAAATCATGTATTTTTCTTTCATCTCCTCCTCAAATCACTGAAATTGTCCTTTTCCATTATAAATTTGAGTTACGCTAACTGCACATGAACACCCCTCCCCTCTGGTGTCTAGTGAGCAGGCCATGTTGCCTACAGCCCCCCCCCGACTCTAAGGTACCCTGGGCTCTCTCATGATGACATGCACCAGACTGACATTGACCCCGGAGGGATGCGCCAGGCCCGTCCTCCATGTGAGGAGCCTTCTGGAACCTTCTGTGCCGGCCCGCGGTTCACCCCTGGGCCCAGCAGGTCCAATGTTAGCGCCAGAATCGCCCCATCCTGGTCACTGATTCCTGTCCCTGTTCCTTCCGCAGGTATGAACGCCGCTGTCCGTGCCGTGGTGCGCATGGGAATATACGTGGGGGCCAAAGTGTACTTTATCTATGAGGTCAGTGTTGCATCTCCCTTGCGCTTTCTCTGACTCAGGGACCTGTGCCTCGTGCCTTCCCCAGGCGCTGCTGATCCTGATGTGCATGCTCAGGCCAGGCCAGGGCCCCAGGGGCTGGGGGTCCCGCAGGGATGCGGGACAGGGGTGGTGCTCCCTGGTCTAGGTACAGGTCTGTGAGATCTGTGGCAGGGAGGGCTCGGGGAGGGGAGAGCCCACGGGGCGCAAAATGGTCTCAGGGGATTAATGTGTTTATTTGTAGCCCTTCTTCCCTAAAGAGGAGATATATTCATTTAATATGGGGGTGAACTTGAATAAGTGTTGAGGTAAGCGGGAGAAAACAGCCACTTTAAGCTTTTTCTCATTACTGTAGAACCCAGACCGCCTCCCTAACCACCGTTTATGTGTTAACTTCGAAACCAAGTGCCTGAAACAAGACGACAGCCCCGGCCCATTAGCTCCTGGGGTCCTGACCACGGAGAAGTAAGCCAGGTTCGGAGGGAAGGTGCCAGTGTAGTTTGGACCATGCTAGTTATTTCAAAAACTATCAGGAAAAAGTAATTTATATTTACTTTTTAAATTTATGAAATCTCATAAAGCTGAAAACACAGAAAGAAGAGCATATGTTTTTTAAATGGCTTGATTCCTGCAAAACCACCGTTGGTATTTTGTATTCCGATTCTTCCTGGGCGTCTGTGCGCAGCACCGACCCAAACCCCGGCTCCCTCCCGCCCTCCGGGAGCTGACTGTCCAGGTCCTTTTCTCCTTCTGGGAAGTGGCTGTTCATAAGCCTGTGCTCACTGGGCCACATAATGGTTTGTGTATTGTTTGCTGGAAAGAGGGTTTTTTTTTTTTTTGCCCCGGGCTTTGGTGTGCTTTTCCGAGCTGTGGTTCTGTGAGTTTGGGGTTTGCATTTATCTGGTTTGGGTGATGTTAACACGATGGGCCCAACCAAAGCTCTCCCAGACTATTGTTTGGTCCTGTTCTGTTTGCAGCTCCTTGGGGTCACGTTGCGCCCTTGAGTGTCGGCCCCGGGCTGAGGCGCTGGCTACCAGCTGCCCCTCACCAGCACGGACAGAGTGCCAGGCTCCCCAGGCTCCCTGCCCAACCCTCCATTCGACATCCAGTGTCCTACAGGTGTCCATTCGTGTGTGCATTCCTGCTACTTCTGGAGACTGCATGCACACAGACCTCCCTGCCTTTTTATCTTATCTTATTCCATTTTCGGGAGGGTTTGCCTTCTGCCTGAGGGCTGAGAGAGACCACCACCCCCTGGCCTGACCACAGGTCCTCTGTGAACCTGGTTTTAAAAATCTTCTAGGGTTGGGGCAGGCACCCTCAGATCAGAAGATTATAATCTTCTGTTGTAATTAACAGCGTGTTTTCAGATCTGCCGAAGACGGATCTGCCTGGACCCCCCTGGCTTACAGCGTGCCCTGCAGCGGGTGTCACCCTGGTCGGGGGCGCTGCAGTGATGTGCGGGCTGAGCTTCTGTCGCCAGCCCCCCCTGGGTCTTTGAGGTCACAGCGGTTGTGGGAGGGAAGGGAAGGAAGTCGTATCCGGTATTTCATAGTGAAAGAGACTGACCCGTGTTTCTTTAGAAAAAGTTTGCTTTTTCCATGTCTTCTGTCACGGGCAGGGCTGGGGAGAAAGCTCCTATGCCCCATCAAACCAGTAACAGGGCTGGGATCTACCCCCCAGGGGCGTGGATGTCTGGAGACGTTTTTTGCCCGTCCCGTTGTCAGGGGTGGCAGTGGTGCTTCCGGCATCTCACGCAGGGATGCTGCTCAGCAGCCTGATGCCCAGAACAGCTCGCACAAAGAATTCGTGATCTGGCCCACGGTGCCCACGGTGCCGAGGTCTGGAAGCCCCGCATTGAACCAAGGGCTGGACGTGCCCTTGGCGTGAGTGTCGTGGAGAGCAGGGTGGGCCTGTGCGCATGCTGAGTCTTTGGGTGTGGGACCTGACATAGGAACTGTCGACGTTAATCCTTCAGACTTAAGACTTGTGTTTCTGTTGGTTTTATTGGCTCTGTATTCTGAGAGCTTTAGATAGGATATTTAGTGGGACCTCTGTTGCCAGACTGCACACATTTCCAGTTAAGGAATTGACCAGGAACACAGCAGCTATGCCCACACCTAAGGACGTTGGGGCTTAGGAGAAGAGCATCTTGGATTTTCTTCAGAGGAATCCTGACCTAGGAAACCAGATGCCTCCATCCCATTGTCCGGTGGGAGAGGTGGTCTGCTCTCCGTGGCCTGCTTTCCGCCTGGCCACTTTTTTTTTTTTAAAGATTTTATTTATTTATTTGCCAGCGTGAGCGTACAAGCAGGGGGAGCGGCAGAGGGAGAGGGAGAAGCAGGCCTCCCGCTGAGCAGGGAGCCTGATGTGGGGCTCGATCCCAGGACCCTGAGATTATGACCCAAGCCGAAGGCAGACGCTTAACCGACTGAGCCACCCAGGTGCCCCGCTCCTGCCCACTTGAGGAGCCATGTTCTTCACACCCTCTCTGAAAGGTGGGGTGGGCTTGGCATCCTGCCCCTTCCCGCCCACAGGTGGGCAGCGAGGAGTCCTGACTCTGAATGGATCCCATGTCTTTCAGGGAAATGCAGGGGATTTGTGCACTTTCTCCATCAGGAAGAGCCAGAGAGAATCCGGTCTTAGGGTAGTGAGTGTCAGGACGACTGTATTTTCGTAATAACTGGTTTACTGGTAATTGGGCCTTGGGTGGAGGATAGAGGGTGCGTGGGGAGAAGAGCAGAGGCTCCGGGAACCAGGAACAGTCCGCCCGCGAGTCCTGGAGACGGGAAGCACACGAGAGCAGCCTGGAGCTGGACTCACATGAACTGAAGTCATCGGTCTGGAGAGTGGACCCTGCTTCTCGCGACACCCCTCCCCCTCCCCCCAGAAAAGAGAAATTGTAGGGAACCAGGGCTGTTCTTTACAGCTGAATGGGGGGTGGTCTTGGGCTTACTGGAGACCAAGCCCTCGGCCAGCCTCAGACCCTCGGGCTTTGCCCTGGGAGACAGTTTGGAGTGCACCAGTTTGGGGGTAACATCAGCTCTTCGGGACAGATGTCGACGACCCTGTCTCTGAAATCCAAGCCTCTCTAAAATCTGCCAGTTTTTCTTGACTCATCCGTACCCTCCTAGTGTGACTGCCCCTAAGACGGGGCCAGGGGGCACCGGCCAGGACCACCCCGTGCCCCACAGGCGTGCCGGGTTTGTCTCCAGATGTGGGCACTTGTCCTCTGGGGGGGCAAACTCACCCCTGTCGGGGATGCCCATCCGAGACCTGTTTGGACTCAAATTGAGAAGATGTTTGGTTTTGTTTTTTAAAACCTCGTTCAGCAACCTGTCCCACATGTGTGTTCGTTTGTGGTCCAGTTTCTAAGCTTGCCTAGAGCTTTCAAGGTTGCCAGGACACCTAAACAGTTAAACAGGTTAGTGTCATGTACACAAAGGGCTTTGGGTTTTTTCCTTAGCAGAAAGTTTGTGGGAAGAGGATTGATTGGAGAACACTGGCATTTCTGCTGAGGGCCTGGCACCGGCTTCGTGCTGTCTGGCTGGCAGCTGGGGAGGGCTATAAATCTGGGCCAGGTCTACGTGTGGTGCATGACGAGCCCAAGGGTGCCATCTGGGGAGGTTGGGGCGGGTGGTGGATTAACCCATTCTTTCCACCTATGGAGCCAGTTTTTTTTTTTTTTTTTTTTCCCCTTTCTAGGCTAGGGTTTTTCCTTAGACACCTACAAATGTCTTTAGCAGCTTGGGGATGGTGATGGCAGGACATCGCATGGTTTTTCAAGACCATGTTCAGTAGACCACCCTGGCTTCAGGTGGACCAGGGGGAGGAGATATGTTCTCTGTTCCTGTGATCTTGGTCGCAGAGACAGGTTAGTCCTATTTCATGCAATCTGTGGGCTCAAAATCCTATGAGCTGAAGGTTTTCCTGCAGATTGACAAAAATTACAGCTCTTTAAATAGGACTCACTTAAAAAGTGTTTCCTCTCTATAATAACACTTCCCCATTGGGCATGCTCATGCCGACATGTAAATCTCCACAGGGCCCATCTCCCTGCTTTCTGAGGCTCGAAGAAAGGCTGGAGTGGTGCCCATCACATTCAGCAGCCGATCGGGTTAAAAACAAGCATCTCTGCACATGCTGGTCAGGACTTCCTACTGAGGGGGCCTCAGAGCAGCTCAGAGCACTGTTCTAGCCTCACCAGCTTCCAGCTGCAGGTGCAGGGTCTGGCCTTGCCCCAGAGGCCCAGGGAGGCTTTCTCTCTGGACCCCGGCCTCCCACAGAGCTCAGCGGGCTGGGGCCCTGGGCATCAGGGCTGACTTAATCCTCGGATAAACAAGCTTTAATAATGTGTCTGCTAATAGATTAATATCATTTTCCCCTTCTGAACAGAAACCCTGTTTGCCACAGGGCACATGACTTCTCGGATCTGATGAGCTGCCTGCTCTTGCAATTTTGGGAAAGTCAGAAATGGCATGCTTGTGGAAGAAACACAGACAACCCAAACCCCACATTTCCCAACGGAGGCCGGGCAGGCCTTTCCAGATGTGGTGGTTCCCCGCCTTGGCCTGACCTCCCGTCGGGGCCGGGCTCTGGGCTTCCCCGCGTGTCGTGCGAGGCGGACGCTGCCTGAGCGGCTGGATGCCACCCGACGGCAGGAGAGCGGGCAGGAGAGCGGGCCTGGGTGCCGGGGTGGCCTCTGGGGGGCGTGTCTGGTTTGTGATCCCTGCCCTGACCCATCCCGTCTCTGCCTCCCCCTGCCCCCAAGTGCCAGGAAGGCTGGGCAGGGTGAGGAGGTTTTACACACAACTCTTCCTGCACCTTCACTTCCTTAAAGTCAGAGCTGCTTCACCACAAAACGTCTGTCTGAAAATAGTACTAGGATGCCCGCACGTGCAGTGAAATGTATCAGTCTGCAGGTGACCGGGAGGGGTAGACCGCCAAGCTGGAGCAGGTCTGCCCTTTGGCCAGCGTGCAGCACACGAGCGGGCCTGTGGCTGGTGCATGGACCCCAGCCATGCTCGCCCTGAGCACCTGCTCTGTGACCGGTCCTCCTGCTGTCCCCATGGTGCCCTGGGCTTTTCACAGGCTTGTCTGTGAAGTTACTGTTTCAGTGTTTTAATCACAAAAGGATGGTCTCCTTCACCGCCTGCTCCCCTCCTGTGTGTTATCACCGTGCGGCTGGGTGAGGGGCTGTCTGAGAGGTAGCAGGCTCTCTGACCTGGAGGAGGCACACCTGCTGCGTCCTGCTTTGGGTTTTATAACTTACCCAGAACTGGGGATTAGCAGCTTTGGCGTCAAGAAATCTGATAATGCTGGATGGCTAAATCAATCCCACTGGTCTCTGTTGCCAGGTTTCCATAAGCATGAAGTGCTTGACCTTGCACGTTCTGACCTATTTTAGAAGGTCAGAGTTTGACCACCTCTCGCCAGAGACACGTGCAAAGGTGATTTGCAGGCATCGTCCCCAAAGTCATGGGCTCCTTAAGCTGGGGTGGCTGTCGGGCCCTCCAGGCCAGGGCATCTGTGCCCCAAAGGGTCCTGGTGGGGGCCGAGCGGGGCCGGGAAGGACTGCAGTGAACGTCCTGTAGCAGAATAGAGTCATGATTCCTGAACTTTGAAAACCGCTGCCCACCCAGAGGACCTCTGCCCACCTCTCTCATGCCCACCTAGTCTTGCACGATGGCATTTACCAACTCCAACGCTTGAGCAGTTCAGAGCTGACCTGTCTATGTGCTTGCCCTCAAGGTCTGTAAGCGAAATGCTTTAACTTACTAAGAAATAAGCCAGGAAGACAAAAATATGTATTTACTCAAGGCAGCAAAGCATGGGTAGAAGTCTGTGGTGTTGGTCACCAGGATATCTAGAAAATACTTTTGAAGGACGCTATCTTTGGTAGATTGTTTCCGCTGGTAGTTGGAGTGTTTGCCACTCAAACAGTGAGTTGTTGACCCAGTAATTCAGGAAATCAGATGCAGGAAAAACCATTATCAAGTTGAGAAGACAGGTGCACTCATCAAACATACGTGTTCAAGGGGAAAATCCCACTTGGCCATATAGCGTGGGACTGGGATTTCCCTCTGGGTCTTTAATTTAAAAACCGTATGTATTATGAGATCTCTTATAAGAGAAAGCCACCGCAGTGGACTAGCTCTGACTCTCCTCGGAACGGATTTAACAGGTGCCCAAAAACGCAGGTCACAATGACCTCTGGATGCAGCACTGTCTCTAGAGGAACAAACTGGGGACTATGCTGACTTTGCACGTTGCTCAGAACCATTTCAAACAAGAAGTCAAGCTGATTTCAGAGTCTGTGGCACGTTCCCAGATGTCACCGAACGGATGGTGCACTTGACGGTCTCCTGGGCTCATCGTGGGAATGAGGATCAACAAGGCGGGCAGTGTTACTCGGGGTTAAAAACTGAGTGTGGCTTTGAAGGGTTTTCTGTGGTTTTTATTCCCGTGCGAGTCATCGAACTGGCTCTGAAGGCAAATTTCAAGGAGAAGTTCAGAAAATATTTTGGGCTCTGGCTGTATTGGGATAAAGTACTCAAGGCTCCAAAGAGACTTCCACAGAAAACAGTGCATCTGAATTTATAAATTACAGTACATTTGTGTAAAATCAGTCTTCCTAATTTAGTAACCACTTCCTTGTAAGCGAAAGACCGCTGAAAATTGCAGTTGGGAGATCTTTTCGAGGGTTGCACGAGCTCCATGAGTCTGCAGATGGAGGGTGAGTCACTTCCTGCCACGCCCAGGCGTGCGGTCAGGAGCGCACTGTGGATGCACTAATCACAAGAATCCCTTTATCGCTTGCTGTCCCAGGGTCTCTATGCCGCATGACATAAAGTATCTTTGGAGAACATTCTACGTTTCAAAATACGTGTTAGGATTTACAGAACAATTTTCCACGTTCCTGCTCCAGCAGTTTATCCATGTTTTTATTAAGTCACTATTTAGATGCTGAGCAAGAATCCTGAAGGCGAAGAGGGTTTTTGTGTTCCCAGCACGGCCCCTGTGGAGCAGCAGAAGCTGGGCACAGTGCTTGTCCGGGGGGCACGAGCTGCAGGAATCCTCCACGGGCCGGGGCTGACAACCACCCGCAGCGGAGACACCCCCGACAAGCTGGGGACGCTCCCCCAGCCTCTGTGTCCTCATCAGCCCTGCAGTGTCGGGGCAGCCCCGTCCCCTGGGTCCCCAAGGTGGAGTGTGCAGAAATCACTCCCACAGCTGTGGTTGTTGAGAGGGTGGGTGTTCATGTCCTGTTTTTGCCAAAGCCCGTGGATAGCATACTTCTCCACCCTGCCCCGCCTGGGACAGCCTCACGTACACCTGTCCTCCTGGCCTCAGGAGTAATGGTTTCTATCGTCCTCAGCCCCGTGTGCACAGGCTTGGGAGGTAAGACCTCATGCCTCCGCATAGGGGCCATGTCTGTGTCCGTGAGGTGGCTGAGGCTCTGGAAGCTGGAGCCAGCCCGCAGGCCTGCTCCCAGGTGGTGTCCCCCCCCCCCCAACCAGGCCTCTTGGAAGTGAGCTCAAAGTCTGCACCGCCGCGGATGCGGACTTGTTGAGTGCTGTATCTGAAGCAGGCCGTGCTGTGGCATGCAGGCAGAGTGATGCAGGCCGTTCTTTACAGGAGCCTGGGAGTTTGCAGCAGTCGGTGAACTGGATCCTCCCTCTGCCCTCTGTCTGTCTGCCATCTAGCTATCACCTGGCTCTCTACCTGTTTTTAATATTCTGCTGAAGATCCCTGGGACTGCCTTAGAAGCAGGGAGGGCTTGCTTTTGCAGCCTCTGTGTTTGGGGAGCTCACACACGGGGCCCCATGTAGATACCGCCTCTCTTAAGAGCTCTCTTTCCAGGGACAGGGCCTGGATCAAATCACACTCCAGCTCGTCACCCTCACCCTCCACAGTGACAAGCACAGCAGCTCAGTACTTTATATGGAGTGGGCTAAAAATGCACAATGCACACCCTGTAAGGTTCACGGAGGTGCGTTTAGAAGGTGTGCGTCACTGCCCCGTGAAGACAGTGGGCCTGTGCTGGGGGCTGTGGGGTGCCAGAGCCCCAGAGTCACGTCCTCTGTGCAGGGGGCGCAGGTAGGCCAGCCAGCTCCAACATGCACCTGCTCTCAGCTTCTCTGCTTCGTTCCAGGCCACCGGTCCCTTTGCTGCTTGTCACACATTAACACCTTTGTGACTGTGACACACACAGGTTTATGTGTATTTATGTATACGTACACTATGTAGTAGAAAATATTACGTGATTGTAACGTATCAGGTGTTATATACAATGTATACTCTGTATAATATATAAAATATATATTTGTTATATCTATAATAGTAATTATATGGATATGTTAGAAATACAAACATGATTATATATTGTATATAATATATTACATGTCATATACAATGTGTAACGTTATAAGAAATATGTACAAATGTAGACACAGTTGCGCACAGGTGTGTGTTGGTAGCCAGGTATTATGTGTGTGACAAATAGGAAAGCGGAGGGTGGCATGGAATGAAAGAGCAAAGAGAAGTTGAGAGCAGCTTCACTGTGTGTAATTTATAAAAGTATGTGTAGATGTATTCTCTCTACATAATATAGAAATAATTCTGTAATACCGTGTTTCAATAATGCATTATATGTATTGTATAAAATAGGGTAATACGTGTTACATATTACTAAGATGTAACATATTGACCCATGAGTCATGTAACATAGTAGCGCATTTTTGGCGGGAAGTGCACACTTGTAAGCACAGGTGTGTTGATGGCCGTAAAGGCACCTGTGCTGTTGATAAACTTCCACACATGGGTCTCTACTCCGTGGGCCATTTCACTTTGAACGATCCTTATTTTTCCTTTCCTCTTGACCTTCACTAGATGAGGAGCTCTGAATCCCCTGTAAAGATCTGTTAGGATAAACCTTCTAAATGGTTAGTGCCTATTCCCTTTGTAAGGTTAAATGTCCTGGAGAGAGTCACGCACATGGGTGTTTCTGGATTCCTTGGTCTTGTGTGGTCTGGGGCGGGGAAGCAAGATGCACCTGGAGTCGGAAGGTCGTGGTCCTTGGGCCTCCGGGCGAAAGTGCGAGCTCACATCCCACACGCTCACCGGCCCTCGGGGTAGTCAGCTGCCGCTAACTGAAGGGTAGGGCCCACTGGTGGCTGTGGTGCTTTTCCGAAATCTGGTATGTCTATCCAGAGTAGCATGGATCGCCCGGGCCAACTGAGGCCTCGACAGGAATGCCGTGTGATTGACACCACGGTTTGCATGCGAGTTTGGTAGATTACAAACCATTTTGGGGTAAGTTTCTCCCCTTTCAGGCTCTCAGGCGCTGTTAGGTGATAAACTAGCTTACTCCCCATTGTACTGCGGATGGGTCTGGCAAGAAGTTCCCGTTCATTGGAGATTCCATTGGGGGGCTTTTCTGCACACTGAAGGCTTAGAACGAGCACTCGTCTTGCACTGCTCCTAACCACCGGGCTCTTCGGGGCTCAGGGTCCTCATCCTTTGCATTTTACAGAATTCACAGATCCATCTAATATCTAACGTCTCACTAGGGTTTAACCCCGTTTTACAAGGGTTTCCGTTCTCTTCCCCCAGGGTTACCAAGGCATGGTCGATGGCGGCAGAAACATTGTTGAAGCCAGTTGGGAGAGCGTCTCGAGCATTCTCCAAGTGGTACGTGCTGACTTCTAATACTGTTTCTCTAAAGTAAGTCCCGCTTTTAAAAAAGTTGGAAACCTTTTATGCGTAGGCTCCAGTAATACTTAACACGGATTAATGTGCTGCCTGGCATTGTTCTCACCTACTTACACAGTAAAAAACCAAAAAAACCACCTTAATTTGTCATTTCATTAACATTTTTAAAAAGCTTTTACATCGTGGAAACAGGATTATTCTTGCAGTAAAAAGTTATGTGTGACCTCTAGTGTTCCCTGTGGTCCTTGTAGCGGATTTCAGGTTTGTTTTTGTTTTTTTTTAAGACCAGATTAATACTGAGGCCGCCTCGGTTTGTTGGTGCTATGTTCACAGCAAACAGCCCCGCCTGTTGGATTTTTGAGAGTCACTTGGCGTCAGTGTAACAAAGCCTGGGAACGGTCCCTCCCAGGGCGGCAGGATTTAGTGGGAACCCAGCCTCCTGGTTCTGGCCTGAACCAGTCAGGGCTCATCGCTCTGGTGTGCACAGGAATGAGGCGGGTATGGCTTCAGGCAAAACAATTGCTTACTTTGAATTTAAAAGAAACCTGCCTGATTGTTTCATGCCTATAAATTCCCCAAACACGGTAGCCAAGGGAAGCCTCCAAATCCTTGGAGAGGCGGATTACGTGGAAAGAATGGACTTGACAAAAAGCTCTTCACTCGTGGTTTGACCTGTTGAAACGCATTATTAATGTGTAACTCGTGTTGAGTATTTTTTAAATACAAACCAAACTGGTACTGTCCCACCGAAGGTGTTAGTGTGACAGTAGAATGAATCAAATAAACGTGGCGTACAGATATAAATGGAATATATATGCAGCCCGAAGAAAGGAAGGAAATCCTGCAGGCTGGGACGGCGTGGGCGGACCTCCAGGACATTATGCTGAGTGAAATAAGTCAGACACAGAGAGACAAATACCTTGTGATCTCACGTGTGGGATCTAAAAAAGCTGAACTCCTGGAAACAGCAAAACAGTGGTTGCCAGGGGCTGGGGGAGGGGAAACGGGGACGTGCCAGTCACAAGGCACAGACTTCCAGGCTGAAGACCAGTGAGTTCTAGATCGAACCTACAAGCGTGGCGACTGTGGTTAATAACACTGTATTGTACCTTTGAAAGTTGTTAAGAGAATAAGTCTTAGTTCTCAACACACATACACACACGTGCCGGTAACTGAGGTGGTAGACGAGTTAGTGAACTTGAGTACAGTGATCATTTCACATAAATCCTATGTTTCATACCAGTGCTGCATTATAATTACAATTTTTGAGAGTTGCTTAAATAGTAGACCTGGAAAGTTCTTACGACAAAAAAGCTAACGATGTGAACTGGTAAGTAGATCTACGAGCGTTCTTGCGGCGATCACGTAGCAGTGAGTGCAGAGATCACATCAGCGCCTCGCGCACTCACGCTCGCGTCACGTGCTCGGTCCGTCATCCCGGTGGGGAGATGGTAGTGGGTGTACATGTGATTGCCCCGGGAGACAGGACGTGCAGGTGCCCCTGAGTGTGTGGGGGCAGGGAGGGGTGCCTCCTTTGCATTCCTCAGCTGTAGCTTCGCTCCTGGGGCCCCAAGCACGTGATCCCCTCAGTGTGGATGGGCTGCTGACGCAGCTCCCAGCTGTTAGAAATCACATGACCCTCCGATCGCTCTTGGTCGAAGCAAAGTCCAGAGAGCCAGCTTATCTTCGCTGTGTGCCCTGCACCTCCAGCCCCGGCCCCCCTCTGCTGTGCCCACAATGCCGACTCCACCACACTCACTGTCATCAGCGCAGGCTCCCTTTGCGGGGGGAGCGCCTCGCCTTTACAAAGTGAGCGTGTACCTGAAGAATGGCCCACAAATGCAGGCTTGATAAGCGCATCCATGGTGTATGTGAAGGAACCCTGCTTTTTTCCAAATGCAACTAGGAATCGTTCGTTTTTGAAAAACCAAATGTGAAAAATCACGACTTCTCACTCTCAGAAGTTTGGATGATCCAACTTGAGTTTTCTTAAGATTTAGCTTTCAAAAAGGGTGCAGCAGGGAGATGTGCAAAAAAGCGAAAAAACCCCTTTGGCTCACTGGTCTCTGCCTTGCCTGTGCATACGGTGAGCTCTGATGGTACCGGGGCCGCTTCTCTGGCCAGCGCTGCATCCATCTGAGGTTCGGGGGGTGGGGTCGGCCGCCCCATGCTGTACCACCACAGCACAGGCCTCCTGCAGACTGCTCTGCTCTGCGTGTTTACCTGATGGCTGTGCCGGTCTCCTGACCACCCCCCGCCGGCTCCCCCTGGGCATGATGCCTGTGTCTTTGTCCATTGTACCCACACTTGAGCGACTTAAATGAGGGGAACCTAGATTCTGCAAGTCCTGCATGTATACAGGGGTATTCACATGCGCTGAGCTCCGCCACTTCCTCTCCTGCGGGAAGAAAATAAGTACGCGTGGTTTTGTTTGTTTTCCAGGGAGGGACCATTATCGGCAGTGCTCGTTGCAAAGCCTTCCGCACTCGGGAAGGTCGCCTGAGAGCTGCTCATAACTTGGTTCAGCGGGGCATCACCAACCTGTGTGTGATCGGCGGGGACGGAAGTCTCACAGGGGCCAATATCTTCCGGAAAGAGTGGAGCGGGCTGTTGGAAGAGCTGGCCCAAAATGGTACATCCTTGCCCCTGTGTGCTGCTCTCGTGGTTTTCTGTTCTTCAGAGAGCTCTGACCTCACACGTCCGCCCATCTGACTGTGGAGAGGCATGAGGGGTGGCGGTGCAGGCCTCCCGCTCCACCACCTGGACTTGACCTTGTGCCTCTGAGAATGATGAGTTCTATGTTCCTGGTCCTGCCCCGTGCCAGGCACTGCCCACCCCCGGCACAGGTTTGGGGAGCGCTCCTGATGGCCATCTGAGCTAGTAGGTCTCCTGTGTGTCCCCACTCAGCAGAGGAGACCCGGGGGGTGGAGGAGAGGGTGCACCGGGCTGCCCTTCACCGCCCCTCCCCGCTCCACGGGGGGCTCCTGAATGTCCACTTGTTGTACAACTTGAGCTGAGATGTAGCAACCGCCCTGCCGGCCGATCTGGTCGCATCCCTTCTCAGGCTGCGGGGGCAGGATTCTCGAGAACCCCCCGTGTTCTGTGACCTCTGTCTTGGAAGGGTGGTGATCCGTAATTCTGGCTCAGCATAAAACACGACAGTGGGAACAAACTGCCTGAAGGAACGGCACCTTCGTGAAGGGGGTGAGCCGGCCGGAAGCCGTTGCCCCAAGCCTCTGAGGTCCGTTCAGGGACTGGAGATGGGCCGTCGGCCACCCATGGCACGAGTCAAAGGTCATCTGCTGTATGCGGGCCTGCCACAGGCTCCGCAGTGGCCCAGAGGGGTCGCCACTAGGTCCCAGCCTGTGCCCCCCTGATGAGCACATCTGCCGACCGCGCAGTGTTTGCTGAGAGCTGGGAGGTAGATCCCTGCCGACAGCCAGCCCCACACGTGTGAGAAACCAGCATCCCTAAGTACCGAATTCTGTGACCGGGCGGTGTCCTCACTTGGAGGCATGTGTGCCTGAGGCCATGGCCGGAGAGAAGTCGGGTTCAACCCGCTGGATGCCGGGCACAGACCCCATGTGCCCATCTGCCCTTCACTGCCCCTCCCCCGTCTGGCTGTCATGCCCTACATGTGCAGAATGAGGTGGTTCAAAAGCCAAAACCGCACGCAGGAAGCCAGTGTAGAACCCCGGCTTTCTCAACCCGGGACACCCTGTTTCTCAGCAGCCTGACGCCCGTGGCGTCGGCGCAGCTCCTGGTCACGGCAGGTGCTTGTTTCCCATGCAGGCGAGATCGACAAGGAGCAGGTGCAGAAGCACTCGTACCTCAACGTTGTGGGCATGGTGGGTTCCATCGACAACGACTTCTGTGGGACTGACATGACCATCGGCACCGACTCCGCCTTGCACAGGATAATCGAGGTTGTCGATGCCATCATGACCACTGCCCAGAGGTAACAGATGCGTGGGAGCCCAGGCAGGGGCTGTTGGAAGTTAGATGTGCTGCGGTGTAGACGTCCGTGCCGGCCCTGGACGACTCCCCAGATGCGTGTTCTGTGCTGCGGTGTAGACGTCCGTGCCGGCCCTGGATGGCTCCCCAGACCGGTGTTTTGATACAGTCTTGTTACTGAATGTTAGAAACCAGAGCAAGAAAACGGCTTCCCATTGACTTTTTATTTTCAACTGTAAAAGGTTACTCCTATGCCTGATTTTAGAAGAAAAAAGTGTTTGCTGGAGGGAAGACAAAATAATCCTAGCGGGAAATCCCATGCAAGGTCTCCTGCGAGTGGCAGGACTGGATGTGGCCCCTTGTCCTCTGGCTCAGTAGGCGCCCGAGGACCCCAGGGGCGTTGGGGGAGCCCAGTGGTTGTTCCTAGCGCCTGGAGTGCTCCCCGCCCTGCAGGGCGTAGGCGTGTGCTGAGCGACGCGGCCGGTCCTGCTCCTCTGGAGGAGCCTAGAGGTGTCCCAGGAGTGTGCGTGTGTGCGGGAGAGCGAGCGCTCGCTGTAAAGTGTGTAGCCCCAAAGCCCCTTTGCGCGCAAGAGCTCGAAACGCTAGCACAGTGGCGTCTGCTTTTGTAGAAAATGGGCCCTTTTCGGAAGCTGAGGTGCCGGCCATCACCGTGAAGCAGGCTTTCCACCCCACTTGTCGGTCACAGTACTTCCCTGTTTGCTTTTCATGCGGTTCCCAGTGGTGGTAAGTGGATGTTTCCTTTGTCTCTTTTCCAGCCACCAGAGGACCTTTGTTCTCGAGGTTATGGGGAGACACTGCGGGTACGTATGTGTAGACGCCATTTGGATGGGGAGCACCCTCAGCTTGGCCCCCTCGAGAGCCCTGCGCCCATGGGATAGACGCCCCCAGGCAGGAGCCCGCTGTGGCCAATGCACGCTCGCGTCCCGACTGCCCAGGGCCGCCTCTGAGCTGTGGCTGCCCGGCAGCAGCCTTCCAAAACTGGTGCCGTTTCCAAATAGGTACCTCGCCCTGGTGAGCGCCCTGGCCTGTGGAGCAGACTGGGTGTTCCTCCCGGAATCCCCACCAGAAGAAGGCTGGCAGGAGAATATGTGCATCAAGCTGTCCGAGGTAACGTGCGTTCTGTGTCCCTCGACCGCCAGCACCTCTGATCGCCGTGTGCGGCGGCCTGTGGGGGTCCCAGTCTGGACGGAGTTACAAGCAGGTGGAAACTCTGTGGTTCTCAAGTGAGTCCAGGCTTGTCACGTAGGGTCTGCATTCACTGGCTCTTCAGGTGTCCGGCTGCCCCTAGTTTCCCAAAGCAGTGCCGTAGAGAAACCCCAAAAGCTTTGTATTTCATGCAAAGCAGCAGCTGAAGGTTGAAGTAGTCTTAAGTAGAGATGATGGCTGTTAAGAGAAACTGGAGTCGGGGAGGAAATCTGCCTCCCGTTCCGTCTCCACTTGCCAGTGTGAGCAGACCTGTGTTTTGACCTCAAGCCCCTCCTGGGCTGAGCCGTCCCTGCCTCGCTGGGCGTGCGTCAGGTGTGATGCTGGAGGGGGTACTCTGGACCGGGCTTTTCCTTCTGTTTGTAGTCTGGGGCTGCCTGTGGCCCCCACTCAGCATTATTAGTGGAGGGTGCGTTGCCCTCTGGGAAGACTTCTGAGGAGGGCATACGAGCTTAGCTCCCAGGACAGAAATCCCAGCGTGGGGTGCATTTCCCAGCCACGTCAGCACCGTCCTGCAGGTGCATAATGTAAGCATATGGCACAGGCTAGTTATGGCTGTATTCAGCAAGCACGTACACTCTGCATGTAGCCAGGTCACGTGTGCATTGCCACCACCTTCAGGTGACAGGTTCCAAGAAAGGAACTTGAGCAACGTACCCAACAAGGTTTGCTGACCCAAACACGATGTAAGGAACTGCTGATGAATGCCATAGCTTTGCTGGGAGGAATCGTGCCCATGGGAAGGTGGGGCTCAGCTGCGGGAGACCGGTGAATGCAGGAATGCCCCAAGTCCCAGTATTAACCGTGGACGTAATAAATCCACTCATTGTTTCTTGGTTCCGGCCTGGGGAGGTGGGCCAGCTGGTGTGGGGTGATTCGTGGCTGGGTGCATGACATTAGGGGTGGCACTGGTCTTAGACTGGACGTGTGTGGCTCTGAGAACATGCATTTAATCACCAATCCTGCGGGGGCCGTGCCTGTCCCCGCCGGCCATCCTTCCTCCCCACTGACAGCGCCAGGCCTGGTCCAGGGCAATGCGGTCACAGGCCAAGTTCTGGCGGCAGCCCTTGGGGACGGGGAAACACGCCCTTGCTCCGAGGCCGCGCACAGTGGTCGCAAGGTCAGGGTAAGGTGGTAGGGCTGAGGCCCTATTTGGTTTTTAGGTGCTGAGTTTTGGATTTGGCCATTATTTCCATACCTGTGTGGTCTTGTCTGCAAACCTCCTTGGGTTTCAGACTTCATGAACCATCAGCTAGGACAAGAACAGAAAGAGTTGGGGTCCCTGCATTAAGTGCCGGCGGATGGCTTGGACTCCCCTTGTGCAGAAACACTTGATCTCATCATATCTGTAATTAATTTTTATTGGTTGTGGATGTAGCGCTGTAAGAATTTTTCCAAATATCTTGTCAGGTAAGTTGGCCAGGGAAGCAAGCCTCAGAGCATGCCCCAGATCCTAGGCATTTTGGTCTAAAACAGGAAAGGCCTCTCTTGAGGCATCACAGGTCCTGGGGTTGGGCCTCAGCTCTGCCACCCACAGGTGACCGTGGGCAGATGACCCCACATTCCCAGGTCCCGAGTTCCTCAGGCCCCTGGTGCTGTTGTGAGGACTCAGGGAAGGAAGGCGTGCAGGTGTGGACGTGGGAGGCGTCCACACACCTGTCCAGGCACGGCGGCTTATCTTCCCACGGGCATGTGTAGACAACTCTTGTTCTGTAACCCTCTGGAATATTACGTTTTACGGATGACGTGTGGCTCCGCAGCCAGTCCCATGTTCATGGAGACGTCACACTCACTCTTGTAGCCGCATCTTTACACCTCTTAGGAAATATTTCTGACTAGTAAGCTCTTCGAAGTGGAGCACATTTATATCAACGTAAAACCAGCACCACACACCAGATGTGCTTGAGGCACCTCGCGGGGACCGGGCGAGCCTGGCCAGAACCAGCCCGCTGGGCGGCACGGCCGTGGCGGCCTCAGGCACTGCCCGCGCTGGGGCTCACAGCCCCCACGGGAGGAGGGTCTTGGGACGGGATGGAGAACAGACTTGGCTGGGAGTGATTTCCGGGCGTTGCGGGATGATGGCCACCGTGAGCCTGTGGGGACGGCAGGTGTGGGTGCCGTGCCAGTCCGGCCGGGCCCGTGCAGGTGCGCCTCCACCTCTGCGCTCTCCTCTGCACCCCTCCTGCCTCCGGTGCAGGCCTGGGGCTCCGTGCTCTGATGGCAGTGGCTGGCCTTTGTGGACGGGCTCACGGTGGGGTGGCGGGAAGCTCTGGCTCCCGAGGAGGTTGGAAGCCTGGTTTGCAGTATAGACGCGCCGCAGGGCCCATGGCCGAGCTCACTGCCTTCTGGGGCCAAATGGCAAAGGAGCATGGCCCCCAGCCCGGGGCTGCCTGGCTGCTGGCCTGCGTCTGGGGCGATCTGAAGGGCCCCTCCCGCCCCTGCCGCCTCCAGCTTCACGCCCACAGCGCCTTGACCTGCCCCGATGGTCGGAAACCCTGTTTGCGAAGTTAGGTGATGATTTCTACCTGGCAAGAGGCCAGTTCACCTGGGGCAAGGGGCCCTGGATTTGTTTATTTTTAAAATGGCTCAGGTGTTTGAGGGTGTTCTGTTTCTGTTTCCTCCAGAACCGTGCCCGGAAAAAAAGACTGAATATCATCATTGTGGCTGAGGGAGCCATAGATACCCAAAATAAACCTATTACCTCTGAGCAAATCAAGGAGGTGAGTGTGTCCGATTTTGCAATTGTCCTCGGACGCCAGCCTGGAAATGGGAGAGGGTAACGCAGCTGGCAGGGTTCCAGTTTGGAACGTTGTACTATTATCATGAAAACACTTTTTGTTCTTCCTGATATTTAAAGATGTTTTCGTAATGACTCATGACTTTAACAGCATGGGTCTCCTGCAGCTCCCGCCTTATTGTTGGGAATATTCCCCGAGGCCCCAGAGCCGCCCTGTCAGTCGGGGAGATGCAGCGGGATGGGGGGCAGGGGGTTCCAGCGCAGCTGCCCTAGCCAGGGACGAGGGTCAGGCGCTGGGGAGGGGGGTGCAGCCTCCTTGCTCTTGCAGACGAGAGCGCCTGTTAGGTTTGTGCCCATGCCGCACCCGGCCCCGTGGAGGGGCCACCCGGGAGGTCCCGTTGCTGCGTGGTTCGCTCGAAGGTGCTGGCTCGTCGCACCAGCCCTGGGGTGGGCGGGATGGGCCAGGCTCTCCAGTCAGGCAGGTGGCTGCGCACGTTCCAGATGGGATGCTAGGGAGACAGACCGCCAGACGGGCAGGCAGGCTCTGGTTGAAGCCGTCCATCACAGCGAAGGACGTTATCCGTTTGGCTTTGCAAAGTGGTTTCTCTCCCTTCCCTGACCAGCTGAGCGCCTGAGCCCCGAAACGTGGGGAGCTGTGTGTGAAGGCGCTCGGCCAGTACCAAAAGACGCAGTAAGGGCCAAGGTTTTCTTTCCCACTCCAGCAAAGCTAAGCATGAATCCTGGACTCGGGGGGCCACCGGCTTCACAGAACCCCCAGCCCGCTGTTTTTATAGAGGAGGAGGTGAGGTCCGGGGAGAAGACGGGGCCTGGCCCAGCTCTCGTGGGGCCCAGCCCGAGGGGACGCCGTGGTTGACCACAGCTTGCTTTTCAGATTCAGCTGTACCAGCTTAAGGGGCTGCAGGGAAATGTCTGCATGTCTGTAAAATATCACTGATGCCGTGTCCTTTTTTTAAAAATTATGTTACTTATGTTCATTTGCAAGGTAGGAGAGACAAAGATTTTATTTAATAATAAAAGCATTCTTTTAAAGAAAAACAAACTTCAGCTCACCGTTAAACTGAACATCCTTTTAGGAAGTGAAATTTAGAAACTAGAATTTTTTCCCACGTCGGTGTGAAGTGAGAGTAGAGAGACCTCTGGGGCGCCAGCACCCTGCACGAGGTGACCCCCTGTGTTACGTGCTGTGTTTCTTGCAGCTCGTGGTCAAGCAGCTGGGATACGACACGCGGGTGACCATCCTTGGACACGTGCAGAGAGGTGGGACTCCTTCGGCCTTTGACAGGATTTTGGTGAGTGAGGATGGAAATGGTCAGGTGCCTTCCCCTGGGAGCGAGGAGGAACCGTTTGCTGAAAAGACCGTCTGGCTCAGTGTCTCTGCCTGCAGTGTAGGTGGCCCGTCCTGGACATGATAACTGTGCTCGGCCCCCAGTCACACAGATGCTGGGAGACCCCCAAACCTGGGGGTGAGGGTGACAGGGACTCCAGAGAACACAGCCCGCGTGCAGGTGTCTAGACCCAGGCCCTGGGTCAGCAGAGGCCCGGTCCAGTTTTGTGGGTGTTGGTCTTGGGTGCCCTCTGTGCCTCTGACCTTCCCCTTCACTCCCCTGTGCCAGCCACTTCCTACTGGGGCCAAAATGTCCTTGTTGGAGGCGGGTTAGAAGTAAGCGGGTGGATTGTCAGTAGCTCTTCGGGATGCAGTCCAGTAGGATGGGAGGCAGGTTGCCTCCCTCTGAGCACCGTGGGACAGGCTCTGCTCATGGATGCGTCTGCTGGGGGCACCAAGGTCGTGCCTCTGTGGAGCCGGCGGCGGGAAGGCATGCTGCCTTGGCCTTTGACCTTGTCTTTGACCTTCGTGATTGTCCTTTCCAGGCCAGTCGCATGGGGGTGGAGGCCGTGGTCGCTCTTCTCCAGGCCACCCCGGAGACCCCAGCCTGCGTGGTGTCGCTAAGCGGGAACCAGGCTGTGCGCCTGCCACTGGTGGAGTGCGTGCAGATGGTGAGTTCTGGGCGTCCCTGTGCTCACTGAGGAGTCCAGCGTGGCTTCACTGAGCTTCCCCAGCGCACAGGTGCTGCCCGCGGGCTGAGGTCGTGGGTCTGGGGCACGTGGACTAACCCCCGCTAAGGTGAGGTTAGTCTGTTGGGAGGGAGCGTGTGCAGTCGAAGAAGACGCGGAGGAACACGGGTCTGTGGGGACTCTCGGGAGGGCGTCCCGGGGGCCAGGTGGACGGGGCTGAAGCTCTGCGATTTCAGCCGCTCCTGCCCTCCTGTCCCTGAGGACCTTCCAACCAGAGATGTGGCCGTAGGGCGGCTAATGCAGGTGACATCCTGATGTGCCCCAGCCTCCTTCAGGCCCGGGAGTGGGTGCCCCTGGACGTAGGGAAACGGGCTGTGGTTTTCCAGGTCACTGGCCACCTGAGGAAGTGGCAGCGAGCCACATTAGATGCCGTCCCTGTCTTTATTCTCCAAAGCCTATCCATGACCGCCCTTTTCTTGGCCTTTCCGGCAGCTCTGAGTGAACGTACTGTGTAACCTAGACAGAGAAGTGATTACATAATCACGTCCAGGGACTTGTTGAAAGTAGCCATAGAAACATGCTTTCCAGAAGCCTATGGGAGTGAATAAATGTGTGTGTGTGCACATCTGCTACCTGTCAAGGGCCTGGCACGTTCCTCTCCCCAGCGACGACAGGGGGTTGGGGTATTTTTCTTAGCGCACAGATGGAGCTGACATTCAGAGGGGAATAACTTGCCCAAGATCCTCACATCGAGGGGGCGGAAGCGGGTGTGAGCGCTTCCCCATGGCCGCCGGCCCCCCGCACCGCCACCCTCCCCGCAGCGCCCCCCCCCCCCCCCCCCGAGAGGCCGGTTTTGTCGTGCTTCTTCCTCGCCAGAATCCAGTGAGGAGTTGCTCAGAAGGCTGCTTGTCTGAGAGCCTGGTTTCGCTCTGGCTTTGCTCTCGGGGATTTCAGGATCTCCCTCCCCGGTGCTGCTGGCTGTGCACCCCCCATCCTGTTCCCAAGCCGCCTGAGCCGCGCAGGCCTGGGCATGTCCCTCGCAGCCGGCACTGGCCGTGACTCGCTGGGCCTGGGCTGCCAGGCTGGAAGGTCAGCGCGAAGGGGGCAGGCAGGCAGGAGCTGCAGGGCACGGCAGCGCTCCTCATCCACAGACGTGGGAGTCTTGACACGTTCTCTCTTGTTTTAAGACCCAGGACGTGCAGAGGGCCATGGACGAGAGGAGGTTTAAGGATGCTGTGCGGCTCCGCGGGAGGTGACTATGCAGCCCGAGGGCCCTGATGGGTAGCTGGTCTGCTTTCTGGCCGGTGGGGCTGTTGAGAGCTTAGTGAGGTGCAGGTAGAAAGGGGCTCGTGGCTGGTGTTTTGAGAAAGACGCTGGAGTGCACGGAAGACCAGGTCTCTCAGCTGCACGCACAGCACGCACCATTGTAACTGCAAATACCCGGGGCCCTGGGGACACAGGGTTGCACCCCGGCTGCCTGCTTGCTTGCCCCGAGAGCCCCGAGAGCCCCGAGCAGGCGCATGCCAACTGTGTGCGTCCGGCACAGGCCGCTCTCCCAGGGGAGCCCCTCATGCTCTGCCCACCCTGTAACCTCGGGCCCAATGGCGCCCTTTCCTTCCAGGAGCTTCGAGAGCAATCTGAACACCTACAAGAGGCTCGCCATCAAGTTGCCGGATGATCAGATCGTGAAGGTAGGTGACGCTGTGCTGCCCCGAGAGCCACCCCCATGTTTCCCGCAGACCCACGCCTCCGGGCTCCCGGGCTGCGCACCCACCGTGTGCTCGCGGCTTGTGTGGCGCGGACACAGCCTGCCCTCCCATCTTGCAGAGCAACTGTAACGTGGCCATCATCAACGTGGGGGCGCCCGCCGCCGGGATGAATGCTGCCGTGCGCTCGGCCGTGCGCGTGGGCATCGCGGATGGGCACAAGATGCTCGCCATCTACGACGGCTTTGAGGGCTTTGCCAAAGGCCAGGTGAGTCCCTGGGGGACGCTGTGGGGAACGGAGGACCGCCCTTCCTCGGCCGCAAACCTAGGTCTCCATCAAGTGGTGGACACGAATGCTGCTCTTTGGGACGTCTGCTGCTCTGGATCCATCCTGGGGTTCGCACTCTGGGCCCTGCAGGGATGCTCTGTGTGGAACGCGCCACCCGGTTTTGTCCAGGGGCCGCAGGCAGTGGGGCCGTGGGGGCCGTGGGGGGAAGGGGCCAACAGAGGCTGTTGTGCCATTGGAGGGGGTGTGGCCAGGGGGCACTCAGACGAAAGCTTTGGTGGAAAGAGCGAGCACTCACTTCTTGCGTGCTTACTGTGTACACTCAGTGCTCCTACGAGATCTGCAAACCTGAGATATTAGCCCCGTTTTCCTGACACAGAAACTGAGGCACAGAGACACTAATTAGCTTGACCGAGGTCACATGCTGCAGGATCTTAGTGTGGTTGAGGCTGCAAGTGTCTCCTGCGGGACAGTATTTACTCACCCGATCACCCAGCAACGCCCTGAGTTCTTACCCCGGGGAAGCCAGCTGGTGCAGAAAGCAAAGCCCCCCTCTGCCGGGTTGTAGCTTGGGGAGGGAGAGGATGGTGAGCAAGCAGGGGGAGCACGGCCTGGCACCGCGGGCAGGGACCCCACCGCAGACGCCCAGAGGAGGGGTCTGCCCTGGGACCCTATAGACACACGCCCCTGGGAAGGGAGTCTCAGACTGGAGACGGAGGTGCTGAGCCGTGTCCATGAGGATGTGCAGGCCAGGCCAGGACAGCACCAAGGGGTTCGGGATGGCGGGCTCACTCGGCCTCACGTGGCTGCTGTAGCAGCAGAGCGGGGGAGTGGCCGGGGTGGGGCCAGGAGGTTTGTAGGTGATTGTAAGGAGTTTGGCTCTTGCTTGGAGAAGACAGGAGGGTTTTGAGCAGGACGGGACCTGTGGCGGGGGGACTGGATGCCCAGGGGGAGGCGTCCGGGGAGCAGGCAGGGTTGGGCTTGGGGTCTTTAAGAAGTGTAGGCAAAAGACCCGAGTTTGGGAGGAATTGGCGCACAGAGGGGACCCCCAGGTTGGCACCCGTGTTGGCAGATGCGACCCTTGCTCCTAGGAGTGGGGAGGGGGGCCGGCCCAGGAGACCGCGTGTGTGCATGCCTAGCTGGCCTCAGCTGCACTCTTTAGATTTCTTCCAATATTTAAAGAAGTTTCCTTTTACGTCAATTAAGAAAAACAGTGTCTGTTTTTCTTGCATTCCCATGGGTAGAGCTTGGCCAGCCGAGGTCAGGATCTGATCTGCGTGGCGGGGGTTATGCGGCGGGAGGGCCGGGCCCAGGCGTCCTGGGTTCTGACCCGCTCAGTGTCAGGATGGGGGGTGCTCCTGAGTGCCTCGCAGGCCTCTGGGGCGGCGCCCCTGCCGAGGGTGCAGACCCGGGAACCGTCTGCACAGCTGACCCCCCGTTTGTTTGTCGCTCCCCAGATAAAGGAAATAGGCTGGGGGGACGTCGGAGGTTGGACTGGCCAAGGAGGCTCCATTCTCGGGACCAAACGGTAATTCCCCCGTCTCGATTCTGACCCGCTCTTAGGAAGGAGAAGGACCCCCCATCCTAGAGGAGTAGCTGGTACAGAAAGTGCGGCTGGCTCACCTGCCAGCCCCCCGCCCCCGTGAGCAGCCCGGGTTGTGCCCTGAAACAGAGAGGAGGCACATGGCTTACAGATATTCACAAGCTTTTATAGTGCATTTTTTTTTCTGATGAGGCATTAGGATTCTTTTGAGGTCCAGCAACTGCACAGCTGAACGTTTGTTCCCGTTTGTGTTCTTTGTTTTTGTTTTTGTCTTGTTTTGTTTTAAACGGACTCTCTGCAGACTTGCTTCCTCAGCTCTGCTGTCCGGCCTGGGTGCTGCTTGTGGGGGCTGCAGGGCTCGGCCCGGGGCTGGGGGCTGGGGGAGTGGGGTTGGGGAGGCACACCGGGGGCTGGCGGGGCTGTCACCCACTGTGCGGGGTTGGTCCGGCCTCACGTCCCCACTGAACTGTTTCTAGCACGCTGCCTGGGAAGTCTTTGGAGGACATTGCCGCACAGATGCGAAAGCACAGCATCAACGCGCTGTTGATCGTCGGTGGATTTGAGGTACGTCCTGTCTCTGGGCACCTGCTGGCTCGTCCGTGCCGTAGGTGTGGGGTGTTAGCGTGGGCAGACTTCCAGCAAGCACAGTGGTGGTGGGTGGGGGGCGGTAGCCCCTGGGCCTGGGGGCCACTGCAGGAGCCGAGTTGGGGAGCAAGCGTGGGACTCCCCACCTGGGATGCATCTGTCCACTGAGTTCTCATCGTTTCAAGTCCGCAGAAATGATCATCTCTCTCGAATTCGAGGCCCGATGGCCATCAGAGAGCAGGGCAGTTACATGGCCCTATCGCTTCCGATTGCATGTTGGACCGCAGACCTTAATTTTTTTTATTCACCCAAGATTGGTCCCCTAATAACCTTTCCACTTGCTTTAAAAAAAAACATGAGGACCTCAAATAATAAGACCCTTGCCCACAGGAGACGTGGTGTCGCCTCTGTGTGACGCGGTCTGGTGACCCTAACGCCTTCCCGTGGTTTTAACGGCCCCTCCGCTCCCCTCTCCCCACCCCCTCCCCCCAACACCTGCACACCGCTGACAGGCTTACCTGGGACTGCTCGAGCTGTCAGCTGCCCGGGACAAGTACGAGGAGCTCTGTGTCCCTATGGTTATGGTCCCCGCCACGGTCTCCAACAATGTGCCGGGCTCCGACTTCAGCATCGGCGCAGATACCGCTCTGAACACCATCACTGACGTAAGTCTGTGCGGTCAGCAAAGCAGGTGCTGCAGACGCTAACCCGGAGGGCGCCTGGCCCGCTTTTATCTGCTGTGCACTAGAGACTGCGAGACCTGGGCTTGTTTCCAGAAAAATCCTTTTTTCTTTTTTTTTTAAAAGCCTGACTGTCTCTAATCCAATGCCCAGAGTTGTTTTGTCACCACCTCTTTTCCTGCCCTGCGGCCAGGATGATGTGTCCCTGCTGCAGCCCGTCGAGCGACACGGAGCAGCTGCAGCCCAGCTCGTTGTGGGCTAGAGTTTTGTGATTCGCATAATCATTAAAGTTAGGTTTCTTTTGGCTGGGCCAAACTGACTTCACTCCCATAACATTATTTATTAATTTTTTAAAGATTTTGTTTATTTGAGAGATAGCGGCAGAGACAGCGAGAGAGAGCAGAAGCTGGGGGAGTGGCAGGTGGAGGGGGAGTTGACTCCCCACAGAGCAGGGAGCCCGACGTGGGGCTCGATCCCAGGACCCCGGGATCATGACCTGAGCCGAAGGCAGACACCCAACCGACTGAGCCAGCCAGGCGCCCCAGCCCATGACGTAATTTATTACGACAGATCCCGGGTCTGATGGCCCTGCATGGGTGTTTGAGGCTAGAACCTGAGCTGAGGATTCTGTAGTTTTGTTCACCGACCTGAACCCACCAGTGGCCTCCATCCTGCCTGTGGCCCCAGCCGTCGGCGAGCTCCATTCTCCCCGTTGTAACTTGGGGACGTTAACTCATATCTGAAAGATCCCTGGCGCCCTGTTAGTTGTTTTGGCCAAAAGGCAGTAACACAACAGAAATGCACCTGTGTTACCGTATTTGTGAGTCACACTGGGGAAATGGCATGGGAGCTCAAAGCACAGTAACCAACGGGATACATTCCTCCTCCTTTTTAATCTGGCATCTAAAATTTTCCAGTAAATTCTCCAGTCTTTATTTTCCTTGTGGGACACAGATACCGTGAATGTTTTTTAGGATTTTTTTTTCCTTAACCCCATGGAATCAAATTTGTCTCTAGTGCTGGTAAATAAAAGAAATGCTTTTTAAATAAAATTCAAATGGTAAGTAATGCTTAGCGCTTGCTTTTTTGTGTTTTGTTTTGTTTTGTTTCTCTGAGCTTCTTCAACTTTCTGTGGTTTCTTTACTAAAAAGCCCTGCCCCGTGTCTCCTGTGTGTCCACGCTGGAGCGTCCCTGTTTGTACCACTAACCTGTGGCCGGGCCGTTGCGCCCACCGTCCTGGTGATCGTTGCTCCCGCTTTGGCTGGTGTGAAGCAGTTCTGCTCCTGATCGGGCTCCAACCTTCCGTGGAAGGGTCACTGTCCCTCCCTGTGCGTGACTGTCGTCCAGGCTTTCCTGCTCTTTTCTCTGCCCTTGGCTGGAGTTTGCATCTGCTTACGCTCAGTGGAAGCAACTGCAAGTTCACGTTTCCTAATCGTTACCTGCTCGGAACCCTCCTGGGGGTGGGGGTGGATGGGGACTTGGGACTTGTCCTCGGCAGGGCCTGGCCCTGGTTGGCGTTCACCTCCCTGTGACACGAAGCCAGGAGCCTCCCACTTTAGAGTTGCAGGTTCCTCTGCTATGAAACGTGGTTTCCAGGTTATAAAGATTAGATACAAAAAATATATGAAACTCTAAATGATCCGCTTTGTTCCCCTTGGAGGGATTTGGACATTTGTTACATGATCTTTTAAATCTGGTTTCTCATCCGTTTGAGTCTCTCCAAGCCAGCTGCCCAGTTACAAGGTCAGCAGCTTGGTGTCCGTGCTGGTGCCAGACCCACCCTCACTAGGTGAGCAGGTGTGTGGGTGTGCCGAGGCCTTGAGCCCACGGGGGACTTGTGACCCGTGGTGAGTCGGGTGCTCAGGGTGACCTGGGTAACAGCTTCGACGCCCATGCCTGGGCCTGCTGAGCGTGTCTTGGTAGGGACGCCGGGTTTCTTGCAGGGTTGTGTTTGTGCAAGCCAGAGTGAGGTTGTGTGTTGTTTAGGTTTGGATCTGGGTTGCAGCCTGGTGGGGCTGGCCGCATAGAGGAGAGCGGCAGGCTGGAAACGTGCCATTGGGGGCTGAGGTGACGGGGCACAGGGCGCTCTGGATCCCTCCTGATCTGCTCCGGAGGGACCGAGCACCTGTGAGTTCAGTGGGGGGTTCGTGCGCCTCCCCCAGGCGCTCCTTCACAGCTGGGCCAGCTGTCGGCCCGTGGCCTCCTGGCCACATGGCTGGCCGCCCGGAGCACCCAGAGCGCTGGGATTCTACCCCCGGGGCACGTCGGCAATGCCGAGGATGGTTTCGGTCGGCCAAACGGGCTGTGGGGGTGCCACTGGCATGTGGTGGGTAGAGGCCCGGCTGCTGCTGACCCCCACGACCTCAGCATGGCCCCAGCTGACGTGTCGCGTTCTTGGGCGCTTCCATCACTGTCCTCAGGGATGACGTCCTCCGTGTCTGCGCGTGCGCTCGGCTTACCCATGCGTCACTCAGAACAGGCCTCTGTGCATCTTGTGCATCCTGGAGGCTGCAGTGACTCCGGGCACCTCTGAGCAGGGGTTCAGAAAGCCGTCCCGCCACGGCTGCGCGGCCCACAAGGGGGCTGCGTTGGCGTCCCCAGAACTGGCGCACGAGCCGTCCCGGTCTGAGCTGAGCCCCGTGAGGGCTGGGCGGGTGGCCACCCCATTAGGAGCTCAAGGAGATGGGAGCCAGGGTTATTTCCCCCCAAGGTGTGTTGTCTTTTCTCGGTGTTCGTGCATGGGTGTTGTGTTGTAAACTCTGCGCTCGGAGCCCGAAGCGGAGGTCCGTATCGCTCCCTGGACCTTGGGCCCATTGTCCCCTCCAGCCCCTGCTCCCTCTCCTGGCAGGGCTGCCCCCATCCCCGCTGGAGGGTCCCAAGAGTTTTCCTGGAGATTGAGGGAAAGTTCTTGAGGTTACGGGATGCCGGATTTAGAGATGCTGACTGCCCTCCTGGCCTCAGAGCCCGCCCTGTGACTCCCGGGGACAGCTGGCTACACACCTGCCCGTGCTGGCACTCCATGCGGGGCCCCGAGCTGGACCTGGGGCTGAAAGGCAGGGTCCATGCGGGGACAGGGGTGCAGGCTGAGGTAGAGGAGGGTGAAGGCAGAGGGGCTGCGAGGCAGGGGAGTGACCCCACCTGCCTCCTGGCCACCCCCCGGACCAACCCACCGCAGGCCTGCCATCCACACGTCCTCGGGCCACAGGCCCCTAGGACCCGATGTATTTTGGGGAAACATGGGGCCATGGAGAGCATTGGCCTCTGCAGGAGGCCTGGGCCATCCTCCTTCATCCGTGTGCACTCCTGTCACAGCACTCGGTGGTCACGCAGGGGGTAAGTACAGCCCTACAAGGGTCCGTGCACCTGCAGGTGGTCTCAAACCGCCCAGCCGTACAGTGAGCCTGGTGGGTTCAGGGACGGTGGATGGTGGGCCTGTGTCCACTAATGAACACTTGGACTAACACTGAGGTGGGGACCGCAAACCTCTGCCTGCACGCTTGTGAACAGCCCCGTTCTTTGACCTCGGAGGCAAACACATTCACCTTGGGGTCCCTGAGCAGTGCTGGGGCTCAGGCCACTCCACGCTCTTGTGTCAGGCTGGGAAGGGCTTGGGGAAGAGCAGGGGTGCACCCTGCCGGGCTCTCCAGCCCCATGACTGCTTGTCGCCCTGCGGGCTGCCTTTCACGCCGGTGCCGGGGTCCCTGCTGAGGCCGAGCTGGCAGGGCCCTCCCTGCACCCTTGTGGACCACACGAAGTTGTCAGGCTGGCCTGGCTCCGATTATGCTCCCACCCAATTGGCCTCCCTCATGGCTTCCGAGCTGCCAAGAAAGGTCCGCTGTTCGTCCACCACTAACACGGCCCCTCCCCTGGCTCCTGCTTTGCTGCCTGTCTGCTTGCGTCCCCTCCTCCTGGAGGCCCGTGCCCCGTGGCAGCGCCCCCGCTCCTGCAGCGCCCCTCGCTGCAGACCGAAAGCTCCCACGTCCCTGGCCCCGTGGACGCAGCTCACAGGGGGGTGCTGGGGATGCCCCGCTGACCGCCCGCACCGCTGCTTCAGGCTTTCGAGAGTGCCATTCTGTTCGCTGACGCGCGCGACCACCACCAGGAGTTTTGCGTTCCCATTTGCGTCCTGCCGGCCACCATTAGGAACAATGTCCCAGGCACCGACCTGAGCATGGGCTCTGACACTGGCCTCAATGCCGTGGTGGAGGTAAGAGGGCCCCGTGGCTCCATCAGGCCGGACGCGGGGGTCCTTCTCTTCCCCACCTGGTGCTGCAGAGGAATGAGCCACAGTTAGGATTCCTTTCGTGGTCCATTAGTGGGAGCTCATAGCGTAGGGAGAGCCTACCGCCCACTGTCTGCGGGAACGAGGACAGTCCTCCAGCGCTTCGGGTGATGTGTGTTCTTGTGCACCCCAAAACAAGAGGCCCTGGTCTCTCGTGGGCTGTGTCCAGTAGGCTTGCGCTTGTGCTCGGGGGGACGGCCAGCCCGGACGTAGTGTGCATGCAGGGATTTGGGGCCTGTGAGTATGAAAGCTCCGGGGGGAGAGTAGGCACGTCCGCGGCTTGGACACGCCCTTGGTTGTGCAGGGGGAGGCTCGGCTCCCGGGGAGGGCCCCCCATCCTCGGGGGTCCAGCAGGCCCCCGCACTGGGCACCATCTGGTCTGCGGGATCTGTGTTGGAGCCGAGGACTTCCGGCAGCGCAGCGGCGGGCTGCTATGGGGTGCAGTCCTCCCCCAATAGGAGGAGGGAAGTGGCCAGGGGTGGGCCGTGTTCTTGACATTCACGTCGCCTGGGCTCCAGAGACACCTGTTCAGCAGACACCTGATTCTCAGGAACATCCCCGTCCCAGTCCGCGGGCTCTTTCCTGTCTTCGCTCTGTTCTGAGCTCCACCTTATCTTTTCACACGATTTAGTTTTTTAAAACATGTGTGACAAAATGTTAGCAGTGTTGGAACTCTAACTCCCAAGTTTTGAGTCCAGTGGGGCCATGCCCAGAGACTGTGCTGGGAGGATCGTGGGGCTTCCGCTGTAGACGTCGGTGCTCCCGATTCCTCCCTGTCCCCCAAAAGGCAGAGCACCCCCACCGCGGGGTGGGGCTGCTGTCCATGCTGAGGCTTTGTCAGTGCTGGTTTTAGTAACTGAGGGGAGCATGGCTGCAATTGCTGGATTAGGACCTGGTGCGTCTGGGGCGCACTGTCACCTGTCCATCTCCCGGGGGCGGGACAGTGGCTGGAGCTGGTGCCAGAAGTGGGCTGGGCTGGGGAGAGGCTTGGTGTGTACTTGCAGATGTTATTTCCGGGCCAAGCCAGCAAGCACTGGACCGGAGTGGTTGTGCAGGACGGAGCCAGGTGAGGGCACTGTGGTCCCGGGAGCATGCACGTGGTCTGCGCCAGCGAGGCAGTGCAAGGCGGCGGACGGAGGGGTCTGCTGTTGCACCCCTGAGCCTGTGTCCCGAGCAGGGCCCGTGGCAGACATTTTCTTAGGAGACCCGCTGTCTGAGCGTCTGGAAGACTGTGGAGGGCCTTTGTCAAGGAGCTACCGTCCAGCTCTGAATAGAGCTGCCCTCAGAGGATGCAGTGTTTGGGGATAGACTGAGGGTGACCAAAACCCAAATGTCACAGGCAGCTTTTCAGAAGAGGCCAACCTAACAGACATTGCACTGAGCCTGTAAAACCTCATGGTGCCCACGTCCGGCAAGGCCACGTGGGCAGCTGCAGCGAGCTGGTCCCAGTCCCCCCGCAGTGGGCAGTGTCAGGACATGGGGACGATGAGCACACCAACCAGGGGCAGGGGGGTTTCGCTGCGGTCTGCAGCCTCAGTCTGTGTGCGTCCCAGCCTGGACACCCCCACGCCAGAATGACCCGTGTCCTTCTCTGTGGCCAGACGTGTGACCGCATCAAACAGTCAGCCAGTGGGACCAAGCGCCGTGTGTTCATCATCGAGACCATGGGGGGCTACTGCGGCTACCTGGCCAACATGGGGGGGCTCGCCGCTGGAGCCGATGCTGCCTACATTTTTGAGGAGCCGTTTGATATCCGAGACCTGCAGGTACGTCGATGCCACGGGGCCCTGGGTGACACGGTTGTGTCAGGGTGGTTGGCTCCGAGGGGATGGCGATGGGGTTGACAGGACGCTGTCAGTAAGCCCCTCACCAAATAGTGGGACATGAGCTGATGCACCAACTTCCCATTAGACCTCCATCCGTGGGTCAGCCTAGTGTCGTTGTGTCCGTGTGGGAGGGTGGCCGGAGCACATCCTACCTGGAGCCCAAGGTCTGCCTGCTGGAAAGGCTGGGGGAGTGCATGAGGGAGTGCACGGTGCCCGCCGGGGTGGCGGGACTTGTGAGGTCACAGTGCAACAGGCTTAAGGCACTAAGAAAACAGAATCAAACTGAACGCCTGTTCTTTCTGGTTGCATGCTTCCTTTAAAGATTTTGTTTTTAAATTAACAGAATGTAGTTTTTAGAGCAGTTTCAGGGTGAGGACAGAGTTCCCCTGCACACCTGGCCCACACCCAGCAACACCCCAGCAGGGTGGGACCGTTGTCAGAACAGATGCCCCCCACCCCACGCTGATGCATCCTCAGCACCTGGGGCCACAGCTCACATCAGTGTTCCCTTTGGGATCCTAAGGCTGACATGCGCCTTCCAAATCGGCAAAGGTTCCTTGGGCCCAGCTTTATGCGGGGCGGGTGGCCAATGCAGGGGAGTCGGGCTGCGCAGCCCTCGTGGGGAGAGAGGGGAGCTGGTGGGAAGGCTGCAGGGGGGCACTGGACAAGGACAAGCCTCAGTAAGACAGACACAACTCAAACCCACAAAAATACAAATAAAACTAACTTTGTGCTGCTGACGTGAGCACAGAAACTTTAAGGTCTTTTTACGTTTCTGAACCACATAAATCAAGTAGAGACCTGCTTGATGTGGATTTCTTCACAGTGTGGAATTAAATATTTGTACTTCAGAAAGCCACCTCAAGACCGTGCTCAGCCAGCACATATCTCTGCTCCGGCACATGGACCCTAACTTCCACTGTGATGACTGAGGTTTGCTTACACGCAAACACCTCTGTTCCTTGCCCAGTTTCTGTGCTCAAGATACAGGATTCCTTTCCTTATAAACTCTGTACATGAATTCACGTCTGTAACAGCTTCTCCTGGCCCCCAAATCCTTCTTAGGCAGTTAGGAGATGATGTACGACGTCAGGTACACCAGGTTTTCCTCTGTTGGGCAAATGAGGAGCGACGGACACCAGGTACACACAGGTTCAGGGCACAGATTATGTGAATTCGTGATTTCAGAGGGAAAGCTATTCATTGTGGAAAGCGTGCTGCAGGTGGAAAGCGTGCTGCAGGGAAGCTGGGTCCCTGGACGCTGTCCCGTGCCCAGTTGAGCGGCAGCCCTCCCAGGCCGAGCGCGCTGCCCGACCCTGTGTGCTGGTCTGTTCTGGTCCGTGTGCACCCCTGGTCTGCGCTCGCTGGGCGCTGTCCTCTGTGCCATAGTGGGAGCCCTGACGCACTCCGTGCTGCGTGCATGCGGCACTAGGGTGTCACAGTGGCGGGTACCAGGTCCAAGTCTACCATCTGACGGACTGACAACGCTCTTCCCTAGTCCAACGTGGAGCACCTGACGGAGAAAATGAAGACCACCATTCAGAGGGGACTCGTGCTAAGGTACGGACACTCGTCCTCGCTCACTGAGCCTGAGCTTCCCAGACGACCCGGCCACAGGGTCGAAACACTCAGGGGTGGTCATCACTCACCACTGAAGAAATGAAGGAGGGGCCGTTGCACGCTGCGTCAAAAACAGCATACGTTTACATAACTCAAGGATATTTTGGAAAAATTCACTTTTGTAGTTTTTTGTTTTGTTTTGTTTTTTAAAGATATCACCAAGTCATTTCTTTAAGCCACTGGCATTTCTAAAGAACACGTGTAGTCCTGGCGGGCACGGGCTGGCTGCGCATCCCGCCGGCGCCCTGACCCCGCGTCTCCCCTTGCTGCAGGAACGAGAGCTGCAATGAGAACTACACCACGGACTTCATCTACCAGCTGTACTCTGAGGAGGGCAAGGGCGTGTTCGACTGCAGGAAGAATGTGCTGGGACACATGCAGCAGGTGGGGCCTGGGGCCCGCGCAGCATTAGGCAGGCGCCGTCCAGGAGGCTCTATGTAGATGGATGCCTTATTTTAGTCATAATGGGGAAAAAATGTGTGCTCATGAGATGCTTTTAAACATCTTGGTATTTACTTCCCTATGTTATAGTTCCATGTTAGAGTCATACCAGATACCACCAGCTTTAGAAATTGTGTCGGGGTAGATGGAAGACGATCAGTGTTCAATGTTGGAAATGCTCACTGGAAAAACCTAATCAAATGAAGTACTTCATTCAGTATTGCGCCTTCGTAACTATCTACACATCAAATGATACTTGAGATTTGCACAAAATCGGAATGGTCTGGAAGGAATCTTGGGGTGTGCTTTGGTTTGCAAGCACGTCCCACATGACAAAGCCGGAGACCGGTGTGGACTAGGGCCGCAGCACGGGAAGGCGTACCTGTCCTGGTCCCGACACCACCTCCTCTCCCCCTCCCCCGCGGCTGTCTTAGGGTCTTTAACTTAGGGTCTACTCCTCCATTCCAAAGGGCCCGTGCGCATCTGTGTATTTTTGTGGGAGCTAACCCACAGGGTTGGTCAGATTCTTAATGGAAACTGTGACCTGCCCCGCCCCAAAGTCAGACTAAGACATCCGAGAGGAGATTTGAAAATAATGAAGCTGCAGGCTGTGCAGCTCCACGCAGGGTGGGGGTGAGCACTGGGAAGACGGCCTCACAGACTGCGCTCTGGCCGCAGGTCCCAACTACATACAAACAGGTAAAAACACGCAAGAACAAAAACACAAAACCCCCCAAACCCTTATTTACAGATCCTGAATCTCTTAAAAGTATGATGTGCATTGTGAAGTACTCGTACCTTTCAGGGAATTTTGACAAGCTGTGTCAGTAACCTCTCCTGTAACTCTGCCCGCCCACAGGGTGGAGCGCCTTCACCCTTTGATAGAAACTTCGGAACCAAAATCTCTGCCAGGGCCATGCAATGGATCAGCACGAAACTGAAGGAGGCTCCGGGCAAAGGTAGGGAGTGGCGGCCACGGGCGGGACGGCGCTCGGGGGAGCGGGTGCACTCAGCCTTGAGCTGCCCGCGCCACGCCCTTTGGCCCCACGCTGCAGTTGCTATACGGCTTTCAAGGCTGTCATTCGGAATGATGCTAAAAGGCAGTGCTTTGCTCCTGCTTGTCAGTGGCGTGAGGCACTCTGTATTCCAGTGCCGTCCTCCTTGAATTGAGCATACTGCCCATATACTAGGCTCCCCCAGCAGGACCCTAGATGTGACCTTCCCTTGTCTTTTGCACACTCTGAACTGGCCTTGACTTAGGACACCTAGGACTTGCGGATTCTTCATGACCTTTCTTTTCAGAGAAAACCGGAACTGGCAGGTGTCGGGACGGTTTGCTCCTTCCAAACCTAGCCTGTCTTTCCGCACATTTCCCTCCCTCCCCACCAGAGGTGGCCTCGGAATTGCAGAATCATTTTGCTTTCCCCTAGTCCTGCCACCCCGGGGACACCTTCACAGGCCCCTGTGGTTTACGTGAACGGAAGCCGACAGTGTGCATTTCCCTTTGCTGGGGTGTTGGTGTTTAACTGGCTGGTGTTCCTGACCCCTGGCCCGCATTCCGGCATCCCCAACCACAGGCTCACCCGCAGGGCATGCAGTCTCCTTGGTCCCGCCTGGGTGACATGTGACCTGTCCCTGTGGGGCTGTCGCTGTGACGGGGGCAGTTCCACTGTGGCTTTGAGGCGAACCTTCCAAAGCGAGGAGGGGAAGCCAGCTTCCCTCGTGCTTCCTTCAGGGTCCCACTGTTTCCCTGAGGTCTTTCAGTATTTTGCCTGCTTTTCTGTTGCTTAGTAACACTTACCTTATTGACATATATTTTTTGCTTTGATATCATTGTATAGATTTAAAAGTTTTGATGACTTTACAGAAACTGGTTTTACTTTATATTCTAGGAAATTCTTCTATTTCATATTCTGCCCATCCCATGTTGCAGGCAGGGCTCTTGTGGGGCTTGTCATTTTGGGCAAGGCATCTCTCCTTAATCTTTAGGTAGACCGTTTACCTTCTCCTTTATGGCTTGAGCTCTTTTGCTAGAACATTTTTACATTTACTTCTTTGATCCACTTGAAGTCTGAGGTCTGATTTCATGTGGATAATCACTCGGGTGCCATTATTTGAGAAGTCTCTAATCTCCGTCACAGACCAGGTATCTGTGAAGTTGGCGGGACACTCAGTTACTGATCCTCACCAGTATTCCAGCTTTATAGATGATTTCTGATAGCTGGAAAGGTGAGGCCCCTCTACCCTGGACTTCTTTTGGTTTCTGCTATTCTTGGTCCTTTGTGCTGTCACAGAAATAGAATCAAACTGTCACAGTCCACCAAAAACTGTTGGATGTTTTGAGGGAATTACATTTAATCAAATCATTTGGGGGAGGAACTGATTTTTAAAAATATTTTCTAATTCATGAACACTGTATCTCCATATATTTAAGCCTTTCCTTATCTCTTATGAAAGCATAAAGATCTTGCAATATCTTTTGCTGTTTATTCCTGACTCGATATTTAAAAAAATGTTATTGTAAGTATATATGTTTTTTTTACTTACTGCTGGCATACAGAAATACAAGTTTGTTGTTTTTTTTTTTTTAAGGTTTTATTTATTTGACAGACACAGCGAGAGAGGGAACACAAGCAGGGGCAGAGGGAGAGGGAGAAGCAGGCCTCCTGCTGAGTAGGGAGCCCGATGCAGGGCTCAGTCCCAGGATCCCGGGATCATGACCTGAGCCGAAGGCAGACACTTAACGACTGAGCCACCTAGGCGCAGAGGCTGCGTGCAGCTCCCGGGGGAAGGCACTGGGTGGCACCACTCTAGATGCCCCCCCCCCCCCCCCGCCACCTCACTGCAAAACCCAGCTGAACGTTCTTTGCGCTTTTAGCCTTTTTTTGTAAAGGCCAAAATCCTCTTTGGATTTCTCTGTAGCTAAAACAGGTCCCAGTGCAGGTCTTTTGAAAAAGCATGGGGGTACCTGTATACACCTTTGCAGACCTAGGTGGGCACGCGCATTTGCCATAGCTGATTAGCAGCTGTCAAGCCCAAGCCTGCTTCTGTGCGCGGGCTCCTGGACAATTTCTTGTGATGGCCTCTTGCTGCGGCAGCTTCCCCACGTGTCCTATCCCTGTCAGGTGCAGGGTGCGAGCTTGCTCTGGCTTTGTATGAAGTCCAGGTGTTGGGTGGGGGGGATTCCCCTCAGGGACCAGGACACCTCCTGCTTCCTTTGTGGGGGGAGTGGGCTGTGGAGTTTCCTGAAGTTTACAGAAAGAGCAGTTTTTTAAGTTCTGTTTTCTAGGAAATCTTCTGGTGCCCGTGGCACTTTAACCCCCTTTACTACAGACACCTGACCTCACCCCCATTTTCCTGACCAGTCTGACCAGACCTGTGTCCGTTTCATTTCCAACCTTTGACTTAAAAACAGCAAGGCCAACAGATCCAACCTCATTTTAGTCTTAAGAGAGCAGACTCTGGCTTTGATTGTTTCTACTTTGGGATTTTCCCCTTCACCTGAGGATGCTCATCTTACCTCGTGGCCGCCCCCCATCTGTGCGCACACGAGCCTCAGCTTCCGGTGCCGTCTCGCCAGAGCCGGCTCTGTGAAGACAGCCAGTGACACCCTGTCTCCCCACCACCGAGAAGCACGCGCCTTCCTTCCTTAGCTCTGGGGGCGAACTGCTAAGCGCAGCTGAACCCGCCCCTCCTGGGGGGGAGTGTGCAGGGCGAGGGGCCGCGCCAAGACCCAGGCGCCTCCTCGTCCCTGCCCTCCCCCGCTCTAGCCCTGTGGGGGCTCAGCGGTACCAGAGCCAACAGCCCCCGAGGAAGCACAGTCGTGCGCCGGTCCCCTGGGCTCGTTGCCCACCCCGTCTGCAGGCCCGGAGCGCGCAGGGGCCTTGCCTCCTGCCCAGGCCGTCCGAGTTCTTCTCTGCCCCCCAGGATTCTGCTCCGTGCTGTCGGCAAACCTCCTTTTCTCCCACACCTCTCCGCCTGTCCTCAACGTGACCAATGATTTGTTCTGACATCACTCTTTCTCTTACAGGAAAAAGATTTATGAGCGATGATTCCATCTGCGTGCTGGGAATAAGCAAGAGAAACCTTCTTTTCCAACCTGTGGCCCAGCTGAGGCAGGAGACAGACTTTGAGTAAGTAAATAAGCCCTCGCCGGTCTACACCTCAGTGCCAGGGCAGGAGTGTGGGACAGGGCAGAAGGACGCCGCTGCGGGATGTACAGGCACAAACCCACTCTCAAACGACCTAGAAAACACAAGCCTTTGAGAAATGGGAGGATTTCTAGAAACACACAGAATGGTTTCCAGTAACTTACGAAACTGCTTCATCCTCCATCAGCCCCCGACTCCACGAAGCCCGTCCTCTGGGACGAGGCCGTCCTGACTGCTGCTTCCTCCTGACCCACAGGCACAGGATCCCCAAAGAGCAGTGGTGGCTGAAGCTGCGGCCGCTCATGAAGATCCTGGCCAAGTACAAGGTCAGCTACGAGGTCTCCGACTCCGACCAGCTGGAGCCCATGCACCACCGAGGCCACGAGGAGCCTGCCGCCATCTAGACGCTGCTGGACCCGCCCCGCCCGGCCAGCGCCGCTCCGGACTTCCGTTTACCACCCATTTTTGTAACACTTAAGTTATTTATCGGCACTTTGATGCGAGTACTGTTGATGTTAATGCCTAGTCACAGAGACCCCGTCCTGTGTCCTTCATCCCCAGGGGACCCTAAGACTCCAGCACGAGCTGTCGGCTGTGTCTCCTACTGTGTCCTGCTTTAAACTGTGCGTAGCCAGTAGAATTAAACATTTAGCTCAAACTCCAACTGTGGTTCTCTGTTTTTTTAGGTAGGAGTTTAAATCCTCAGGATCTGGGCAACTGTAAAGGTTTTTCCAGCAGTTTTGTGGGAAGGGATCGACACAATGTACTGGCAGCACTGAACTAGGCCCTATGCAGGGACAAAGGCTCCGCTCTGACACACAGTAAAGGTGGGACTTGTCAAGTGTACAGAGTCGGCCCTAGACCGGGACCCTAGGACACCAGGTGAGGTGACCCAACTCCTTCTAAAGTGATGCCAGGTGTGGAGTTAAAATAGAAACCAGCAACATGTGTGTTAAGAACAAGGTCAGCGTACACGCAGGATTTTGCGCCTTGCGCCCGCTGAGCCCCAGACCCTCCTACCGAGGAAGCACGTGCCTGTGTCTGGTGGGGCCCGCAGAGCCCTGCTTCACTGAAGAAAGGGAGCTAGCTGACCTACATCGGTGCTAAGTGAACAGCATTTCTGCCTCTTCTGTCGTCTGAGACGTAGAGAGAGCTGGAGGGTCACAGCCAAGGTCTGTTCAGAAACCGAGAATGGCACGGTCAAGGAAGAACCAGCGCAGACTGTGCTTTCTCTGGGAGATCCGTAAGGTCACAGAAGCTCCCTCCCATAGAAACCGTGGCAGAAGCATAATGCACTTATAATCCGTCAGGCTGCCCATCTGTTCCAGACTGTTCCACATGTCCGTGGTGTGAGCGCACTGGTTTTATAAATCAAGGCACCTCAGGTACCTTTGTTCACTTATTTTTTAATAAAGGCCCCAAGAATTACTCTAGCAAAATGTCACTTAAAATGACTAAAGCACAAGTAGGTCAGGGCAGAGCGGCTTTTAAGTTTTTAAAATAAATGCTCCAGAATTAGTAAGGTAAAATAAGTGTTTATATCATCGATATTTTAAAATTATAATCTGTGCAACTCTAGCATTTAACACATGATTATTTCAATTTCTTCTAAGACAGAAGAGCTTGGTCTGACCAAGAATGAGGTCACACAAGAATGAGGTACGAGCAAAATGTGGGGGGAAACAGTAACTTTTCTTTCCTTTCAAATTAAATTAGCTCAGGCTTCATGTTGAGGAGCCCCACATGCCTGTAGGTTCGGTTGAACTCCTGAGCACGTCAGATTACTTGCTATTTTATTATCCACGATGGGTCCTTAGCGATTTTTGCGTTCTCTGGTCCAAGCAGAGCCAACCCGTGTGTGCTCTTCCCAATGCCAAGGTACCTGGAAAGCAGGCAGGGAGACATCAGGACTGCTTCCCACATTAGGAGCCTGGGGCAGCCACGGGAGGGCTCTGAACACTAGGCCACGTGGTACGTACTTGTTGCTCACGTCGATGAGATCCTTGTGGCTGACGGCGAATAGCTGCTCCCGGTGCACCTGCTTCATCTCATCCGAGAGGCCACACAGGAAGTGGTCCAGCCCTGACCATGAACACGCTAACTCAGGCCAGCTGACCAGGGCGACGGATCCTGTTCTAAGGGCACCCAAGGGACACACTTCCACCAGAGGTCACACTGTTGACCTTCCCATGCCCACCAAGCTGCTCCCCTCGGGGGTGCAGGCCAAGTCAGAGTGGCTCCCAACCCCCGGGCTCGGGCCTCAGGTCACTCAAGCTCTGAGAGGACAGAATGCCGCCCTCTGCAAGTGGCCAACACCGAGAAGCTCTGGCTCAAGGGGGACATCTGTGCATCATAAAGGAGGATGGAAGAGGGGTACCGTGGCAACACCAGGTTATCAGGTGCACTGTGTTGTTCACTCCAAATACCTCTGTCGGAAGGAGCCACAGGGGCGTCCACGACGGAGAAAACGGAAAGCTTTGCTTCGTCAATGTCCTGCTGTGTGAACCTCCCAGCCTTAGCCCAGTCCACAGCCTTCGAGAAAGACTGCAGCGTCTCTGTGGAACGTGGATCCCTAGGAGACCAAAGAGACCCATGCTGACCTACTTCACCACCAGATTATTAAATGCACCTCTCTGATTTTGCGAAGAGAGATCAAGTGGACAGGGAAGACGACTCATGGAGAGACGCTAAGAATGGCTGAGTAAAACCCCTCACGTCCTTAAGACACACCCGGACTAGACGAATAACCCCCCATAAGGGGTCCGGAGAGCTCGACGCCCTCGGTTCCTGCTCTGTGCTTAGCAGCACGCGCCCCGCAGCGGACACTGAGGGTGGGGTCACAGCCGCGCTCCCGTCCTTCTCTACAAGCACACGCACGTCCTCCAAGCGCCCAGGGACGTGGTGAGGCGGGAGTAGGGAGAGACTGCATCAGAGGGGCAGCAAACTCATCCTGCCCACAGAGCATTCTAAATAGTCTATGTCCTCGGAAACTTTCTAAAGAAAAGGGGCGAGAAGAGTCAGGGCCGTGACCACGAAGCACGCGTCTCCCACACTGCGCCTCTGTGCTGGACATGAGCCCAGAAATCTCTCGGCCTGTCTCCTCTGTAACTGAATCTGGGTGCTTGGTAGGAGGCGTATTTAAGCCAAAGTCTCTCATTATGTATTACTGCTCCTAGACACGGACAACCAAGAGGATGCTGCTGGGTGTGGTGACACGCTGAGGAAACGAGAAACAAGGGGAAACACTTCTTCAAAGGCTGGTCCCAACATGTAAGACAGTGACCCGCGGATGCTTAGCGGAGCCGGGGAGACGCGGCGCTCAGACTCACCGGTATGAGTAAAGTGTAAACACCCCGTCACGGCTGAGTCTGGCGCCCCCACCATAAGCACCACCCTTTTCTCGAATTTCTGTATGCAAGAATTTGGCAGTCATCAAGCGTGCAAGGATCTTAAGACTGAAATGAATGATTAAAAAACACAAGTTAAAAACCACAGGCCTGGCAGGGAAGTATCAGATGTAACATAATCACGTACTTGCTGTCTTTCTCAGGTGAAAATTTGCTGTCTTACATTAGGTGAAAACAAAAATACAGTAAGATACACTCTGGTTTTCCCTTTCCTAATGAACGAGAACAAACATGAGGAAAAAAACGTAAGATGAATTTTCAAACGAGGGTTGCGGAGAAAGGTGGTGAGGGACACGAAGGTCCCTCAGACACGTTTAGGCCCTTCCTGTCTACAGCACACAGGGACACTACTGACAACCTGATCAAGGAACACATTACTAAATTTTATCGCTCAAGGCAAATGTACAAACCATCCTTTCTCTAAATTCCCCCACTGGTGTGCACATGGGTGTCTCTACCGAAACACGGAGAGCTCTTAACCAGATTTCTGTAGGTATCTGCCCTAAGAAAACACACTCCAACAGAATGACCTTCTGAGTCCTACACTCACGATGGAAGTGCAGTTATGGCGGTTGCCCTGGAAGAGAAACGGAATATTCTAGCAAGTACCTTCACAGGACAGACAGTGGGGCCCTGCTTGCTTTCCACTGACTGGTCTAAGTCCAGACACTAACCGGAGGAGCACACAGGTGTCCCCGGAAGACGGTGGTCGGGGAGCTGCTCATATCGTGGGTTTGCGGTGCCGGACCCGTGCAGACTGGCGCCCCACTCCCAAACAGGGACTGAGGGGCTTACCTGCCACATACTTCTGAACATTCTGAATTACATAAGGAACACAAGGTCACTACTGGAAAATTATAAAATACAAAGAAAGGGGGGAAAAAAAATCGATACTCTTACTACCCAGGGTACTTCTTATAACCTCTCCATGCTTTAAATCTGTTTAATAGAATACATATCCGTAGTCTGCAGGGCTCAGCATACAGAACCCATGTTCGTTTCCCAGGAACATGGTAACAAACTGGCCACACTGCTGAACACCATCCTGTGAGTCTATTTCCCTCATGGAAACGTCCTTTCCCTTGAACCCAGCAGCAGCCTTGCGTGTCTGGGCCCTGTGTACCCACCAGCCATCCCTGCCCTCCCATCCCCTTCCTGGGAAGCCCCTGCCCGCCCCTGGCCCCATACCTGGCGTGGTCCGGGTCTGCATAGGGGGCAGTCCTGATGCATTCGCCCACGTAGTTCACTGGGAACGGAAGCAGGAAGTGCGTCTTCATCTGGCACGGTTTGAAGGTGGGGTCCTGAGGAGGACAGGCCGGCTGTATTGGCTCCTCCCACGGGCTGCCCCCCCCCGCCCCCACTGTCATCAGGTGCTCATGGCTAAGGGCAAAGCACTGGCGATCCTGTCGTTCCACACAAGTGCTCACTTTACGATGGAATACTTCAAAATATAGTTTCTCAGTAAGAAACCTTTCTTCCTACATGGTTTCCGTCCATAAGTGACTGTGTGACCTCATCTTTGCATTTTCCCCCCGAGATATGTTAAATCGCCATCCTCTGATGAACCAAACCAAGAGCCATCACCACCAAAGCAGAGCAGGGAGAAGGGTGCACGGTGCCCAGTTGATGGTGACACCCCCAACTCGGCAGTCCGCTGTGCAGGGTGAAGGCATGGGGAGCACAAGGGCCCCGGACAGGCCCAGGGCCTGCACCCCTGCCTGCAGGAGAGAGGCCCCCGTGGTTGAGGCACTGGCCACCCCACACTTGACAGGGCAATAAGATGGGAAACCGCTCTTTCCAAGGGGACAGGGACTATGCTTACTTACCATGATCAGCTTCCTCATGACTTGGGGGCAGCTAACAAGGGTGCTTCCATTGGATCCACTGGGTGCAGGTTTCTGAAAATAAAATGTTTCCAAGAGAAATGAGAAAAATCCCAAACTCACCTTACACGGCTAATTAACAAGTGTTGGCACACATGCTTATGTGTTTTCAGTAACACTATTTGAAACAAATGGGATTTCTGTACGGATTTCCAGAGGGTCAGGGAGAAGCAGGAGCAGGCCACCTTCTCAGGGGCTCTGCTCCCCGGAAGACAGGCCTGGTCTGCCCGACAGGGTCATGGGCGCACGAACATCAGGAGGAGAGAGCAGGAATGGTCTCTCTCACAGTCTATGGACTGTGCGCCTTTTCCGGGAGGTTTCTGGACTGTTCTGGGGAGCTACACGAAAGCCACTCTGTATGGTCACAGAACTGGGCAACCAGTGCTAGGTACGACCTGGAGAACGAGCCCCACGCTGGGGCGACCCAGTCCTGGCTTTCCCGGGTCAGTTTCGGGCCATTCTCACGCTAGCGTCGCGGATCTCAAACCCACCACTCTTCCCCAGCAGGAGAGTGTTCACTGCAAGGCTCCAGTGACAAGGGAACACGGGATCGAAGGCAGTGAATTCACTTCTCACCTGGGTTAGCTAACACTGGGCAAGCCCCCCTGCCGTACTCTGGTTCCTCAGTGCCACGAGGGCATCAGGGGCATCGTACGCATGCACGGGACAGTGGCGGGAATGAAAGGGGCCGCCGGAGACCTGGGACCGCGCACTGCGGCCGCCACCCCATGAGCACAGGCTCACCTCAACCACGTACAGGCGCACCGGCTTCCGTTCTGTTTTACTCCGACCAACATTTCTAACAAACTTTTCTACTGCTTTTTCTGCCAGAGACATCTGCTGAGGTGTAGCATTCATGGAGCACCTATTCAAAAATTACAACTATCTAAGAAACCATCATTATAAAAATAAAACACTGTTTTACTCATTAGGTATTCTGCATGAATAACACAAAAAAGGGACCACTACAACCATCTGGTATCAAATCATGTTCAAAAGTACTAAGAAGCAGCAGGAGCCCGATACAGAAGTAATACAACCGTCTCCACCGCGCTTTCAAGTTACCAAAAAGGCTTTGCCATCAGGTCCGGGCCAGAGCTGGGGCAGGGCCGTCGGGGATGCCAAGAGCACACTTCTGACGTCCGGCCCCGTGGAGAACACAGAACACAGATCTGCCAACCATGCCTTCGGACTTACATTATCGGAAGGCAGAAACCCTACATGACTGTCTAGGAGAGGAATCAGCAATTTGAACACGTGAACTGGTCATTAAAGTGGAAAAGTTTAAGTTGCCAAAAAATTCCTGTGCTCTCAAAAACATGTAATTCTTCTAAATCCCACAGAATCACAAATCCTGCTGTCACGTGCAAGTTAGATACAGACTACGGACAGTGTCTCTCTTTTCCTTTTTGGCCCTCACTCCTAAATTTAGTTTAATCAATAGCAGGTACCACCATATTAATGCTAACTACATTCCAGGCACTACACCAACTGCTTTGGAAACTCGTTTATTCCTTGCATAAGTCTACACAGTAGTGTTTTATGGAGAAGGAAGCAGAGGGTCCTAGTGGTTACGCTGCTCAGGACACCATGGGTGCAGGGTGGGCAGTGCCCCAAGCGGTGGACACGCCAGTGCTGCCGTCCCGGATGGTCGTGATTCCTGAGAACTGACCCGGGAAGATACTGGGGATCTTGACGAGGTACTACAAGCTAATCTAAACTTGTGTCCTTGCTAGTGAGATGCTGAAAATACACCGTCAATCACCTGAACATTTCATTTGAACTCACAGCCCTGAGGGCTTAAGGCTGACTGTGTGTGACCGATGTCAGATGTTTTCTTACCATCAGGGAACTGTTCTCATGAGAAACTCGGCATTTTTAGTCTGCTCTTAAGCAAGCTAACCTTTCCTGTCTTGCAATTAACTTCTGGAACTAACATAACTGAACACTTGCAAGAAATCTACTTTCCAGTTCTAGCATTAAATTAGCTTGCTTTCCTTCCCACCTTCCACAACATTAACTAAACTTAAAATATTTTTTCTCATAAAAAATTATTTCTTGATGATGAGAATATCTGAGGTCTAGAATGAATCCTATGACCTACCCCAAATGCTCTCTCTGAACTAAAGCGTATGTAACCACAGCTTTAAGTGAGAAGAATCTGAAAACTCCACTTAGGGAAACGGGAAGAATGAGAAGATGTCTGTGCAGAAAGAGCCCGGGGCGGGGGAGGGCGCTACCTCATGCTGTCACAGTGTAGTACGTGTTTCTGGATGCGCGGGAGCATTCTCAGCACCGGTCTCATGTCTGTCGCGTCTGCAATCCTCTTCATCAGCCTCACCTGAGCCAGAGAACCCGGCAACTGGAGACAGGCCCCCAGGCAGGGGGCGACCTCAGACACTCCCGCCCGGTCTGGAAACCACACAGCCTCGACTCGGGGGTCCGGCTGGGGGACAGGTGGACGGGCAGGGGTGGGACGAGGAGGGTGAATTAAGAGAATCTTTCCCTATGAAATTTGGTCAGAGTTAGCTTTTCTGGGATATAAAGAGTTTGTCACCAACTCTGGAAGACGTGGCTCATCACCTGATCCATCCCACTGAAGGTCTCCTGCAGGTCTCCCGTGGGCGTCAGGGTCCTGCTCGCCCTGATGGACGCGTACAGATGCCCAGAGTCTGGGATCCCATTGGACAGCTCTTGTGCGGACATCTTAACCAACACTCTGAAGTGTTCTTCCTCTTCAAAGCACGGGCTTTGTAAAAAGAAAAATGTATTAAGTTCCTGGGGGCCCACCCAGATCCCTTTCAATACCATGGAAAATTAAGTTTTCAGATGATGTAAATACCCCCAGGAGTTACAACTAGAATCAAGCTCAGAAACCAAACAACCAAGAAATGAGTAAAAACTCCTACTTTTACAACACTTCAGACTCAGTCCTCTGATCTAGCCCCAAGATTAGGTCTTTATAAGTAGTTACCTGTTGAATATTTCACTCCACAGATGCATCATGTCTGGTAGGTTCCTATCGAGGCAGAAAGATGAAAAAAGCACACCCTGAATCATGAAAGAAAGAAGAAATTATTTAAGAGGCAAAAAAGGGATGCTGGAGACGCGCTCTAGAGCGCGCTGGGACACGGAAGCAAAACGCTACCTGCTCGTAGGTGTCCAGATGCGCGTCGTCGGGCAGCACATGGGGCGAGGCGGCCATCCCCCCCGTCTTCAGCTCTATCTGCTGCGCCTGCCTCCTGTAGTCCAGAAGGCCACAGCCTAGCCTGTCAACAGCAACGGAGGGTCCCCGGCTGGCAGCGTGGTCTTGGCCGCACCCCCGGCAGCCCGAGCTGCCACTGCTGGTTACGGCCAGGGCCGCAGCCTCCACACCCCGCACTACGGAGGGCAGCCGTGCGTTGCTCCCCGCAGACGCCGACGCGTTCGGGGAGGTCACCGGGCGGCTTCCAGGCTGTGTGCGCAGGGGCAGCCACTGCCCAGAGCTAACGGAACACTATTTTCTATGCTCTGCTCTGGCAAGGCTGAGCTTGCGGGGCTTCCTAATGCTCCCTACGCTCTCCTCGCCTCTAAAACAGCCTGGCACGGACGGCATCTGCCCAAATGTTCACACTCACAAAGGAGATCTTTTTCAGCTTTTAGGAAAAAGAGAAGTTGTCTCAGGTGGGTGATACTTTTCCAAGAAAAATCCTGTGCCCAACATAAGTAACTCAGGCCACAGCGACACTCATGAGGTCCCCCCGAAACGGCTGTGCCACAGAAGGACCAGCAGGGGGAGCCCTGGAGGGCAGAGAACGTGGGGAAGGTCCCAATGAGGGGTCTTCCCCGGACACCTGCCAGGGTGCACAGGACTCACATCCTCTGGCTCCTACCCTGCGAAGGCTGTGCATGTGGTACGAGGGGCGGCTGGCCTACCCACTACAGAGTCTCCTGCCCCTTGCCGTCCCCGCACGTGGGAAAGGAAATGTCCGGACTCTGACTGCCTGCCCCTCAGCCCGGCACTCGGGACCCAGCAGAAGAACAGCGAGGTGCACCCGCGTGTACTTGCCCATGTTCTCACATCGACCCAGACACCAGCTTTACAAGAGCAGTAGCGATTACAGTTAGCTTGGTGGAGGAGAGCACACAAGCCGGCCTCTCAAGGTTACCATGTGCCTACACGTCAGATTTAAGTACTTAATTTTCTGATTAAAAAACAATCATTCTCAATTTTAAAAGGAACTAAGTTGCTGAGATAGATGTAACTGTATTACCTTGTACTCTAGGTTTATAAATGGTTTAAAGTTCTACATTTTAAAATGAAAATATGGCTTCTGTAGGAAAAATTCTCAACAAATATATTACACATTTTACTTACACAGTTTAATAATGCTATAGGTTTTTTAAATTAAAACCGTATGCTGAAAAGTGATTGCTGATGCACTAAAACAAAATAACTACATATACACAAAAATCCAAGGGCAAAATATGCAAAGATGCCCTGATTCCATAATGTGTGTGTCTTACTTGGTGAGGACGCTGCAGAAGAGCGGGACATAGGGCCTGAGCTCCTCGGGGAGGGTGTGAAGGCTGGCGAACGCTCTGAAGTACACTACGCCGTTGGTGGGCTGAGCACAGTACTGCACGGGGGTCTTGCCAGCTGAAGAAGCAAAAGGCAGCTAACTTTTGAATCATGAAATCATCGTTTAGTATTTTTAAAATGCTGGTGCCTTTCAAGAGTATTTAAACTTTCTATTAGCAAAGACTACAACCTGTTCACGGTAAACAGAGATAGTCTTCAACACTAAAGTAATGCACGCCTTTGGAAGGGCTGGAACAGGAGTAGCGTTCTTTGGGCTCTGAGGCTGCCCTGGCGCTTGAGCTGGCCCAGCCCCGCCTCGCCCCACCTCCACACCCACTTTGTGCAGCCCTCCATGCTTACATGGGACTGAGAGCTCCCGCCTGCAACACCCGAACCCACTCTCTCCCCCATCTCAAATGCTGCCCCCCACCCAGGTCTAATGATCCACTGGGCACCTGGCACCCCATGGCCTCCAGGGTCCCGACTCCCTCAGGGGCACGTGCTGTGTGCTCCAGTCCTTCCAGCACCAGCATGGCGCCGCAAACCAGCAGAGGGGGTGGGGCACTGACTCACAACCTGTCACTCACCCTCACTCGCTCTCTTCATCGCTTCACTGATAAACCAAAGCTGGGAGAGACTAAAACACAAGTGGGATGCTACCCCCACCCTCCCGAGGCCTGGTCCAGAAACAGATGTCATCTGTGCGGGCACCCCCATGCGCCAGCCATGGTGAATGGAGGAGCCGTGGGAAAGCGGGAGTGAGACACCCCGGAGGAGTGCGGCAGGCGGTCTAGACGCACCCACCCCCCCGCCCCCTGCCCCGGGCGAAGCTTTCCCAGGATGGACACCAGCCCTAATGGGCTGATGCTGCTCCCCAGCGTGTCACATGCGCCCCCACCCCCCACCCCCAGAGCCGCGAAGCAGGCTGGGCCGGAAGGAGCCCGTCCCCGTGCAACCCCCGCCTGAGCCAGATCCCCCTGTGGTTGAGGAAGCAGCGCCCCCGCCAGGGAAGCACAGAGGTCCCAGCGCATGAAGTCTGTGGGCACCGCATGGGAAAACCCACCCACACACCCCGTGAAGAGCAAGCCCATAAGGAGCACGAAGAGCTGCCTCATGGAACACGTCCCGCCGTGGCACATTCTCCTGTGGACCGACCTGCCAGGGCCACCTCCAACTCCGTGAGTGGCATGCTGGGCTCGATGTCCGACACCTTCAGGGCCGGCAGACAGGAGGCGTCCTGAGGTCGGCTCTGCTGAGTCTGTAACTCTAAGCCTAGAGACAAGCAGGGGGAAAAGCGCACGGAAAGGTCTGGGAAGGTCCGCCGCTGCGTGCGTCCGTACCTGCTTGCAGCAGCTCCCATGGACAACCAGCCGGCCCGAGCAGCCAGCAGCGTGCTTTCAGCTCCCACTGCTGGCGCCCGGCAAACCCCTTCCCAAGCGCGGGAACCTGCCGCGGAGACTGTGCTTTCCTGAACTCTTCTCCTGTTCTCACTGGATGCAGAACTACTTTGCTGGGGGAGTGGGGCTTTGCTTGAGCAGTTTCCCCTCCACCCCCACATTTTATACTGAATCGTTGAACGTTCAACCCACTGTTTCCAGGGTTTTCAACCCATTTCCTGCTGGACTGAAATTTAGTAACTTTTATACTTGTCTATTCCGATTTCATCTGCACTAATCTCAGCACCATGCTTGTGTCATCACATAAATTTCACAAATTCTAGAAACGCTCAAGCACAGCTTTTCTGGGCCTGAGCCCTCACCGATCTGGTAAGAGGGGAGAGAACCCTCCTTCCTGGAGTCACAGAACCACTCAGCCCATCAGGGAGGGAACCCCAAAGGCTTGGCACACACGCCCGGTGACAGCAGTGAAGGTACGTGAGTGAAAACCCTCCAGTTTACAGAGCTCTGTCAAACAAACAGACGGGAGCTTCATTTCCCACGGCAATCTGAGGAGCTAGGCTGAGCTGGCCTCCAAGTCTGCCTCCCTGAGGTGCCCAAGCACCTGTCCCCTCAGGGGACCTGCAGGGCAGCCCTGCACAGGAACAGGGACTGCTGCCTCAAAGGGCTCAGCCGCCCTTCCTCCAGCCCCTTGGGGGGCCCCGCCGGGAGGCACTAAGGAGCGGGCTCCGTGAGTTACCGCAGACTTCCCAGGCCCTCCATCACCTGGGTGTTTCCTCCATCAACTACTGGTGGACCCCTGCCCCTCGACACCTCCGGGGTCTGTGCGCAGGAGCCTGCCTCCTGCTGCCCCCGCGTCCCGATCCGAGACTGGCCCCAGGCCCACCCATCATCCTGAGCAGCACTCTGTCCCCTGACAGCTCCTCTCCAGAGCCCTGGGTCGGCACAGCCATCCCTAGCAGCTTCTCCTCGGCCAGGCAACAAGCTCCCCATGGCAGGCGCTACAGCCCTTCATGACAGTGCATGACCGCTTACACAGACATACCCCAAACTGGAGGATCGTTTCAAGGTCTTCATAAATTAATTTCCCATTCCCACTGTTTTCACTGGTGGTTAGCTACAGATTAAACTTTGATTGCAGATTGCTCACACGGGAAGTCCATGACTGAGACTTACTGCCCTGAAATACCCCTTAAATGCACTAGCAGGGTCTCCTACCTAATGGAACTCTGTGGTGGTCTGTAAAATAAAAACACGTTTTTGTAACACAGGCCTCCATCCACTCACACGTGGGTATGGACCAGAGTACATGGGCTTTCTCAGAACCAAGCCCACCTCCATGGCCAGGCCAAGAATCTGACAACTCAGAGAATGTACGGTCTGTTGCTTAGGCCTGGAATTATGTTCCGTGCTATAAAGGGCTTTAATCAAAAACAGAAAATGGGTGGGACTACATCAAACTAAAAGCTTCTGCACAGCAAAGGGAACCATCAACAAAATGAAAGTCAATCTACAGAATGGGAGAAAATACCGGCAGGCCACATCTGATAAGGGGCTAATATCCAAAGATATAAAAGGACTTATACAATTCAACACCAAAAAAAAGCCCAAATACTCTGATTAAAAATGGGCAGAGGACTTGAATAACTCATTTTCCTAGAGAAGACATACAGATAGACAAGAAAAATACGAAAAAGTACTCGGAATCTCATCCATAGGGAAATGCAAATCAAAACCACAATGAGATATCACCTCCCAGTCATCAGAACGGCTTAAGTCAAAAAGATAAGAAATAAGTGTTGGTGAAGATGTGGAGAAAGGGGAACCCTCTTGCATTCTGGTGGGAATTCCAACTGGTGTAGCCACTCTGGAGAACAGTATGGGGAGGTCCCCCCCCCCCAAAAAAATCAAAACATAGAACTACTACATGATCTAGCAATTCTGCCTCTGGGCGTTTATCCAAAGAAAACAAAAACTCTAACTTGAAAAGGTATCTGTACCTCCATGTTCATTACAGTGTTGCTCACTGTGGGAACAACCTAAGTGTCCACCGATGGATAAAGATGTATATATACAATGGATTATTATTCAGCCATAGAAATGGAAACCTTGCCATTTATGGCAACATAGAGGGCATTATGCTAAGTGAAATGAGTCAGACGGAGAAAGACAAATACCGTATGATCTCACTCATATGTGGTACCCGAAAAACCAAACACCAAGCTCACAGACATGGACAACAGATTGGTGGGTGCCAGAGGCTGGTGGTTGGGGTGGGAGGAATGGGTGAAGGGGGTCAAAAGGTACAAACTTACATAAGTCATGGGCTGCAACGCACAGCATTGGTGACTCTGGGTAATAGTGCCCTGTTGCATATTTGAAAGTTGCTAAGAGAGTAGATCTCATGAGTTCCCAGCACAAGAAAAATAAATTGTGACTGGTGACAGATGTCAACAAGGTGCATTGTGATCACCGCACTCTGCACAGATGTCCACTCGTGGCACTACACACCTGAACCTCATGTAAGGTACCACTGATACCTCTACTTGCTTACTTACTTAAATCCACTTGGTAGACTGTGCTCCAACAGAGCATACATCAGATGGTAAACGTATCAGAACAGACACTACAGTTGATCTTGGCCAAAATACCAAGAAGCAATCAATATCTCAATTTAAAAAAGGAAGATGGGACTTGTCCACTGGCACTCCCGCAACAGAAGTGATTATTATGCAATTACGTTACTCATGATTAGCTATTAAATGTATGAAGAGCTTAGAATAGCTGTATGCAAAACAGGAACTCTGAGACAGAGAGTAAGAGGTTACATGTTGAAATTAACTCTGCCTTGACGAGATTAAATCATCTGAAACTTAGCATTACTTACTTCCTATCTAAAGCCAACTCTACCGCCTGACAAACCTGGTAAATCCCTCACATAATATCCCAGCCAACTACCACTTTGGTGGGGTAGGTGGTGTCTGTGTGTCCTGTATACCTATTTTGGTAGATTTTGTTAATATGTAATTTATATATGACAAAATCCACAGTTCTAAAGATATAATTCAATGAGTTCTGACAAACACAAAAAGTAATGTAATCATCACATCATGATATAGAACATTTCCATCCCCTAGAAAGTTCCTTCCTGGCTCCCTGCAGGCGACCCTCTGCGCTCACTTGCCTTCTGTTAGTAGAGTTTTATCATTTCTACAGTTTCATATAAATGGACTCACTGAGTAGGTATTTTTTGTGCCTGCTAATTTCACTTAGCACAATGCTTTTGAGATTCATCAATATTGAGTGTTATCAGTATTCTGCCCCTCTTTGTGGCTGAGTAGTATTTCATGGTATGGATATACCATGTTGATGGAAATGTGGGTTCTTTCAAGTTTGTGTGGACGTACACTTTCATTTCTCTTGGGCAAATACTCTGGAGCAGACCACTGGGCCTAACAGTCCGTGTTTGGACAATAAGGAATTATGTAACTGACTCGGTTTTCACCCACGCCTGCACCACCTGGACCTGAGCAGGGCCTCATGACCAGCACAAGGCCTTTGTCCTTCACCGAGACTTGCCTCTTCTGAACTCAAAATCATACTGTATGCAGTGCTCACTTGGCAATTAACTATGGATCACAACATAACATATATTTTAGTGGCATATTAGAGCCCCTGGTAAATAGCAAGTACTTATAAAATTTGTAATTGGATAAACTTTATGCAGTTATAATAATCCCCCCCTTATCTGTGGCGAGCATTTTCCCAACACCCCAGTGAATGCCTGAAACCACATGGATAGTACCAAACCCTACACATACTTACCTATAATCAAGTTCAACTTAAAAACTTGGCACAGCAAGAGTAACAACTAATGATAACACAGAACACTGACAACAATAAATTGTCATAAAGTTACGTGAACACGGTCTCTGTCTCGCTCTCAACATCTCTTGTTGTGGGGCGCCTAGGTAGCTCAGTCGGGTAAGCGTCTGCCTTCGGCTCAGGTCACGATCTCGGGGTCCTGGGATCGAGCCCCGCATCGGGCTCCCTGCTCGGCGGGGAGTCTGCTTCTCCCTCTGCCCCTCCCCCAGCTCGTGCGCTCTCTTTCTCTCTCTCTCTGATAAATAGTATCTTTCAAAAAGTCTCTTGTTGTGACGAACGGAGGTGACATAATGCCTCCGTGGGGAGGTGCAGTGAGGTGGGGACGCAGGCACTGCGGCACAACAGGAGATACGACCGACCTTCTGATGACAGATCAGGAGTGCCATCTGCTTGCACACCGCAGGTGACCACAGGTAACTGAAACTGGGGACCGAGAAGGTGCGGATCGGGGCTGGGGGGGGAACTAGTGTGCCTCTTTCCTACGACTCTTGCCTTTCCTGCTGAACTACAGGATCGATCTCCTTAGAATAAGGGCAATCCTACTGGGAATAAAGCCATCATATCCAACGTTGACCTTCGTTGTGCCCAATAAATATTTGTTAGTTGAAATGATACTTGCCTCCAACTATCCACTCATTTTACAAAGTTCACTGGGTTCGGGTGAAGGCTAGGGACTCAGGACAAAATTAAACATCTGACCTTTTTCATAGATCTGCTGCTTGTCTTTTGGGGAAAGACAGTCGACCTTTTGCTTTAGTTTTTCTGTCTCCATCCGTGCTTGCTTCTCGGGATACTTGTCATCGGGTGTCATTGACAAAGTCAGCTTGTGCGGATTATTCTGCAACAGGTACAGCAACAAAGACCAAGCTGAAGCAAGATCTCACTGGAGCCCAGCACGCTGACCAGCCTCCAGTACCGCACTCTGGGGCAGGAGGGGCCCGCACATTTTGAACAGCGATAACAGAGCATCCCTCAAAGAAAAGCCCGTGAGGCACAGGGCACCCCGGCCACCACAAAGTAACTGTCATGCACACATGCTGGGGTTCTCACTATTAGGATGCTTACTGTTACGGGTACTATGCCTAAACCCGAAACGTATCGACATTCCACATTTTCTTTATACCTTACTTGTACATGTTTTACATTATAAATCTTTGACTTTAGTCTAAGTTAAAAATAACAGAATAATGTAATCTTTATCTAATCGTCTTTAGAGTATTAACTTCTCAAAGATTAGAACTAAATTCTTCATTCAGCATTTCGTCAATTATGAGGACGAATTAAATGTCCACCTAATGTAAAAATGTTAGATTTAATGTGCTTCTCTCATTCATTTCAACATGTGTACGAGCATGTGTGCACACACACACGCTCTGCTCATCTATTTGTAATACTACAGGGAGGAAAGAGAACCAGACTACAGTATAAACTTTATACTAAGTACCTTGGAGTAACAGAGACGGCAGGTCAAGTGCCAAACCTATGCCCCGTGTCCATAATGGCATACAGCGCAACAGAGCTGCTCTTCATAGACACTACAGTCCAACCCCTGTGGTAAAGCCTTGTAAGTCTACCAGGGCATATACACCAAGTACAAATGCCCTAAAGCAAATGTAAACAAATGAGCAAACATCAAAAGAATCCATCATAAAAATAACCAAAATATCCCACACACTCAGGTGACTGTTCTTGTATTCTCAAGAAAAAAAGTCAAAGTACCAGATGGCTTCTCAGGTGAATTCTACCAAACATTTAAAGAGTTAACACCGAAGTTCCTCAAACTACTCCAAAAAAAAAACCAGAAAGTAAGGAAAGCTTCCAAATACATTCTATGAGGTCAGCATTACCCTGATACCAAAACTGAAGACACTACAAAAAAGAAAACGAAAGGCCTATATCCCTGATAAAAATCTTCAACAAAGTATCATCAGCAAACCACATTCAGCAAAACATTAACACAATCATTTCCCAATAGATGCAGAAAAAGCATTTGACAAAATTCAACATCTGTTCATGATAAAAACTGTCAACAAAGTGGGATTAGAGGGAACATATCTGAACATACAAAGGCCACATATGGCAAACCAATAGTCGACATCATATTCAATGGTGAAAACCTGAGAGCTTTTGCTCTAAGATCAAGAATGAGACAGGGATGTCCGATCTCACCACTTTTATTCAACACAGTACTGGAAGTCCTTGCTGCAGCCACCAGACAAGAAATAAAAAGGCATCTAAATTAGTAAGGAAGAAGTAAAACTTCACTATTTGTAGATGACATGATACTAAACATACAAAACCCTAGGCTCCACCAAAACAACTACTAGAATAAATGAATTCAGTAAAATTAATACACAGAAATTGGCTGTGTTTCTATACACCAATAAAAAAGTAGCAGAAAGAAAAATTAAGAAAACAGTTTCATATACAACTGCACCAAAAAGAATAAAATACCCAGGAATAAACTTAACCAAGAAGGCAAAAGACCTGTGCTCTGAAAACTATGGAACACTGATGAAGGAAATTGAAGACGACATAAATGGAAGGATCTACCACGTTCATGGACTGGAAGAATTCATACTGTTAAAAGCCTATCCTACAAAGCAATCCACAGATTCAACGCAATCCCTATCAAAATACCAACAGCATTTTTCTTAGAACAGGAACAAATCATCCCAACATTTATAAGGAATCAAAACACCTAGAATGCCCAAAGCAATCTTGAAAAGGAAGGACAAAGCTGGACGTATCATAATCCCAGATCTCAAACTGTACTACAAAGTCGTAGTCATCAGAACAGTATGGTACTGACACAAAAACAGACACTTAGGTCGGCTGGAAAGACGGCGGTGGAGGGACCCTCAGCTCACCGCATCCCACAGATACAACTAGAAACACTCCCATCAACAGAAATAACCCAGAGAAGAACCTGAAGACTGGCAGAACTCCTCTCTAAACAGAGAAGAGGTCGCAGCAGAGAAGGTAAGAAGGGCAAAGACGCAGTTTGGGGGAGAAACAAACCATGGCTGTCCACAGCAGGGAGGGAGCAGGTGATGCAGAGAAGGGGGAAACACAGACTTTCACACTGGGGAGCCCACCAATGGGGAAAATGAATCCCCATAACATCTGCCTGTAAAAACGAGAGGGGCTCAACATTGAGTTCTTACACCCAGTGGGACACAGAGTCTGGAATCTAAAACATTAGCATCAGAGGGTGTTAGGAAGTGGAATCCCGCCCTTAAAGAGACAGCACTTCAAACAGCTGTGCAGATCTAGCATGGAACCAGCAGTATGAGAACCGCCAGGGGCAGACCGGAGGGACAGTGATGTGCTCATCTCAGAGTGTGGCCCAGAGAGACAGGGATCAAGGAGAGTTCTCTGCAGGAACAAGGGAGCTGGTCGGCACCACTTTCCTCTCCCATCCCCCACATAAACAATGGCCATCTGTGGGAACCAGGACCACACTGACACTCCTTACTTAACTGGCACCAAGCCTCACCTCCACCATGCTTTGGTGGATCTGTCCTTCCCAGTAGCACTCATCTCAGTCCTGGCACTGCGGGCTCCCTCCCGCAGAAGCCTGGCACAAACCCTGCCAACACATCTCTGATGCATGTGTTTTGAGGGAACTCAGTTCTAGTGGCAGTGGGGGGCAGGGCTCACTTCACAAGCAAACCACTGAACACCTAGTTAAAACGCACCCCACCCCTGCTGGGAAACAAACACTGCCCACAACAGGCAAAGAGAGCCTCGAGAGAGAAATGGACTCAAGGAAAAAAAGAGGCCAGGACTCAACAGCAAGGCACATGCAACACACATAGGACATTCCCTGAAGCTCCAGGCCCTGGGGAACCCAGGGGACACTGCACTGCAGGGCACGCCAGGACCTCTTCTTCATAAGGCCACTACGATTAAGAGCAAGAGAAATAGCTGACTTTCTTAACACAAAGAAACACACAGAGAGTTGACAAAATGAGGAGATGGAAGAATATGTCCCAAGTGAAAGGACCAAACCACACCAAGAGACCTAAAGTGAAAAGATTTAAGTAATACGCCTGACTGAGAATTTAAAGTAATGATCATAAAAATACTCACTGGACTAGAGAAAAGAGCGCAGGACCTCAGTGAGACCCTTAACAGAGAGATAAAAAAGAACCAATCAGAGATGAAGAATACAATAAACAAAATAAAAAATACAATTGATGGAATAAATAGGCTAGATGAAGCAGAGGAACGAATTAGTGACCTGGAAGACAGAGAAATGGAAAGTAACCAAGCTGAACGTATGAGAGGGAAAAAATTATGCAAATTGAGAAAAGTCTTAGCGAACTCAGTGATTCTCATCAAGCAGAATAACATTCGCATTACAGGGATCCTAAAAGGAGAGACAGAAAAGGGGACAGAATATTTATTTGAAGAACTAATAGCTGAAAACTTTCCTAATCTGGTGGGGGGTGGAAAAAACAGATGACAGATCCAGGAGGCACAGAGATCACCCCAAAAGTTCAACCCGAGGAGGTCCACACCAAGACAAACAGTAATTAAAATGGCAGTACTGATAAAGAAAAAAATCTCAAAAGCAGCAAGAGAAAAGACATTACATACAAGGGAACCCCTTAAGGCTACGAGTGAATTTTTTAGCAGGAACAGGCCCAAAGGAAGTGGTATGACATATTCAAAGTGCTGAAAGGGAAAAACGTGCAGCCAAGAATACACTATCCAGCAAAGCTATCATTCAGAATAGGAGACTTAAAGAGTTTCTGAAACAAACAAAAACTGTAAGAGTTCATGACCATTAAACTAGCCCTACAAGAAATATTAAAAAGGATCCTGAGTGGAAAGGAAAGACCATAAGTGAGATTATGAAAAGTAAAAAACACAAATGCAATAAAAATAAGTATTTCTGCAAAAATCAGTCAAGGGATTCATAAAATAAAAGGATGTAAAATATGACACCACATACTTAGTGAGGGAGAGAGAGGTAAAGAATGTGTTCAAATTTAAGTGGCCAGCATATAGACTGCTATATGCAGATGTTATATACAAACCTAAGGGTAACCACAAAGCAAAAACCAGGAACAGATATACAAAAAATAAAGAGAAAGGAATTCAAGTATATCACTAAAGAAAGCCAACAAATTATGAGAGCAAGAAGAAAGGATCAGAGAAAATCTAAACAACCACGAAACAAGAAACAAAATGGCAATAAGTACATACCTATCAATAATTACTTTGAATATAAATGGACTAAACGCTCCAATCAAAAGACATGGGGTGATGGAATGGATAAAGAAACAAGACCCACCTATATGCTACCTACAAGAGACCCGTTTCAGACTTAAAGACACCTGCAAATTCAAAGCGAAGGGATAGAAAAACATTTACCATGTAAATGGAGTGAAAATAAAGCCAGGGTAAGCAATACTTACATTATATAAAATGTATTTTAAAACAAAGACTGTAACAAGAGGCAAAGAAGGGCACTATATCATAATAAAGGGTACAATCCAACGAGAAGTTATAACATCGTAAATATTTATGCACCCAACATGGGAGCACCCAAATCCATACGTAATACAGTTAATAATATAAAGGAACTGGGGCGCCTGGGTAGTTCAATTGGTTAAACGTCTGCCTTTGGCTCAGGTCATGACCCCAGGGTCCTGGGATCTAGACCCACATCGGGCTCCCTCCTCAGTGGGGAGCCTGCTTCTCCCTCTGCCTCTGCTGCTCCCCCTGCTTGTGCTCTCTCTTTCTCAATCTGACAAATAAACAAATAAAAAAAAATAATATAAAGGAACTGACAGTAATACAATAATAGCAGGGGAAGTTAACATC